TGATTAATTCAATCTTTGATTTAGACTGATCTTTATCACTCAATTTTCAAGGAAATTTCTTTCTGCCCAGTCCTCAGTTTCATCCTATAAGATGGTAGTTGACATTGTTAAAATGTTAATGTTTATTCACTGATGATTAGTTTATCTTTAATTATTTGAATGTTGACAAGGTGATAAATTCATTAGTTTTGTGTGTGGTATTCTACAAACATATAATACAAGTAACAAATAAATAGTATGTAAATGTTCAAGTTTAAACCCATCTCTACTGTCTTCTTTCATTATATGAGGGTGGCATCTTTAAGAGGTAGTCCCATGTAGATGTCTTCTGCATTCATCAATAAAGTTGTAGCCTAGTTTTCAGAAGAAAGGGCTGTAATGATAACCCAAGTCTGTTGAATGGAAAAATAAAATAAGATACAGTGTATAAGAAAATCAACAATGATTAATAAATAATAACATACACCCTGATACCTGCCCTGACAAAAAAGAGGAAGGACTAAAATTCACTTGGAGTTCTAGTGGGCAAACCTAAACTATTTTTCCTACAAGACTAGTTACTGCTCATGTTAGATTATTTCTGATGATTCCATTAAGACGATAGGCCTGCTAGAGCTTGGATCAGACAAGGTATGAAATAAGTAATACATGTACAATGTACTTGTAATGTAAACTTGTGCTCATAATTGAATAATACTCAGTTAAGTATGGGACATAAAATGACCAAACAACTTGGAACAGAGAATGTACTGGAAATAATGCAACTGCAACATACATTATGTAGACTTTTATTTCATCTATATTGACATTTTATTTTTAATCTAAATCACAATTGTGATATTCAGTCAAGTATTCTTTTACAAGTCAACGGACAATGAAAAATATGTTTGTCAGATCTATAACTTTCTGCATGATATGTGTTCCAAAATAGTTTATTTGGGGTACCTACATGTATATTAGCACACTTGCTTGTATGAAGTGTAGTAGGCCCGCATTTCTAGATATGATCCTTCAATATCTGTTCTTTGTTCCTCTCCTGAGTTTGTAAACCAGCATGCCTTCATCGTCCACTGTAGAGAAGCATCATCCTACATGAGAGAAAACAATGTAGGTACTTCAATTTAAAAGCGATAATAATGGATATACATCAACCATAATACATCCTATTAACAGACTTTCTTTAATTTTATTTTGTGTTCTTCGTCATCTTAATTGCTCAAGAAGTGAAAGGACCACTTACAAAAAAAAGTGATGAGGGGTTCTGTGTATACCCTACATGTATGATCATGTAGTGCTTTGAATGTGCATTAGATATGGTTCTTTTACACACAGGACCTCCTGTAAATAAGGACAAATTTCCTTTGTAAACAAAGAAAGGAAAGATATCAATATTTGTGTGCTAAGTGCAGAACTAGAATAAAATATACCTCCACAATATACGCTGTCAACAAAAACTTAGTTCCATTTCCTTTTTAGTGAATTAATAGGTGGTCATTTAATATTTGTGTGCTAAATAGCCTGAACATTTTACCTGCATGGGACTTTCTGCTTCATCTTGCAAATATAAGAAATGTTTTAATGTCCACTCATCAGTTAACTCCTTCCAGATCTTCATCAGTTTCATTCTGTTGGAACAAAAATTTAAAAAAAATCGATATGACAATCAAGGCGTCCCTTTCTCCATAACAAAATAAAATAGATCTAGCATATTAACTATTTTTCATGTCATGGTTGGCCTTAATTTTAATATGGTGTGGAAATCAACATTCCAATTTAATGGACCACAGTACAAATTAAAATTAAATGGAAGATTAAACTTGTGCTTCAAAAAGTGCTTTATATGGCCTATAGTATAAAGTAGTCTTAAGTAAAATTGGTTTATTAAGACAAGAAGAATTGGACTACATAAGTAAACATAATTGTGGACTAGTAGGGGTCTTCTCTTACACAAATAGATTTATCAACATGAACTGCACAACTTGGAGAAGAAAAAATCTCTCTAATATATTAAAAGAATTAATAGGGGTCAGGTGCGTATGCAGGGGGGGGGGCGGGGTTGGGGTTAACCCCCCCCCCCCCCCCCCCTTGAGCTTTTTTATATGTATGTTTTTTCTGGAACCCCCCCCCCCCTTTTTTTTAGTGTTGATTTTTGTTTAAATAAAAAAAAAAAAAATCCTAATGGATGACCTAAAAAAGATGACTCCCCCCCCCCCCCCTTATTCAGCGGCTGGCTGAGTTGTTGCAAAGTTTTTGGCCCGATTTCAAAATGTTAACCCCCCCCCCCCCCCTTGAAAAAATCCTGCGTACGCCACTGATAGCTAGGGTCTAGATCTAACGTTAGGCTCTAGACAACTTGACAAGCACGCTGGACCCACACAAAATCTAAATATTAAATAAACAAATCCTAGTGTTGATGTTTTTTAAATAGGTCTAGGTCTAGATCTAGGCTAGTCTATATTTTATTAGAATAAGTTTCAGGTTTACATCTAAATGAATAGGATTTGGAGTTGTTTGATTATCAATGGTCACAGATAATTTTGGTCTAAATAAAGTTGACACGCACCGCGTATGCAACTGAGCGAACGGATGGCACCGATATTGATAAGTAAAGCCACAAGTCCACATCTAACTTTGTTAGACCTAGACCTAGACGGTACCCTACTAAAGATTTTAACAAGAATTAATCCACTTGGATTATCAAAAAAATCATGCTTCGTAGATTACTTTAACGTTAAATCTAGATTTAAATTAAATCGGTGATTGGTGAATTATAGATTCATGATGACGATCAAATCTCAAATAAAACTTGATTAGAAAGTTTGATCTTGATGCAAATGAGCACCGAAATTCCCCGGAGTGGGCCTGCCGGAACCCCTCGGCCTCGGGGCCCTAACTGGAGTACTAGGGTGAAATGACAGCAAGCCGCAGTCAAACTACTTCATGACGATGAAAATCAAAGTGCAATTTCAAGAGCAATATTTTACTAGTCTTTTCCCCAAAAATCTGTTGAGAACTGTCTCCAAATGTAACGAAATTACCGTACATCACGAAGACTATTGCAGCTTTTTCAAAATTGATGACTAAATTCACTTAATCTACTCATATTTCAATCAATTACTCACCCATTCTCAATGAACTAACTCTTCTCAGTTTGTGCGAGTGTAGTAGCGTCGTGCATAAATCTGCATAATTAAAGTGACGCAATGAGGTCAAATATATTATCCGGTTTCTTAAACGATACTATCGATAAAATACATATTCATGAGGCTCATATCCAATCAAAAAGCCGCCTCGGGTGCTTATTTTGTCTTCAAATGATCCAAAAGAGGCGGAGCCTAATCACATTCGTCTGCATGGTTTCCGCGCGTGCTGCTTTCCGTCTAGTAATTATATTTAAACGTCTTTGGTTTAGCCACTTCAGTCAAATATACTGTGCAAACGACTAGAGACAGAGTCTAGCATTACCCTAAGCAGTGTTGGATTGCTGGAGCTGTACATGTGTACATACTATTTGTTTCGGGTTAAATATATCCTCTCTTCTCTTTCATTATGTATTTCTGTGTTCTTCTTCAATCTATCCTCTTCTCTTTTGTCATGTATTTCTTTCTTCTTCAATCTATCCCTTTTCTCCTTCGTTATATATTTCTTTGTTTTTCCTTCAATCTATCACCCCCAGTTCTCCTTCGTTATGTATTTATATTGTTCTCCTTTATTCTAACCTCTTCTCTTTTGTTTAATGTATTTCTTTGTTTCTCCTTCGTCATGTATTATTTCTTTGTTTTAATCTGATAGATTAATCCCTTTCTCCTTTCTATGTATTTCCCTGTTTTTCCTGAGTCTAGATCTATGATCCTCTTAGCTCTTCAATTATGTATTTCTATGTTCTTCCTTTGACTTATCCTCTTCTCTTTCCTTTTCCTTCCCCATATCCTCTCCACTATCCTTGTTTCCCCCTTTCTATCATATTCCCTTCCCTGAGCTGGGTGTACGTGCTTGCACATAGTGCGCTGACGACTTAGACTCTTTCACCAGAGCACTTCTTGGAATTTTTTCGCGAAAATGGCTAAACAGTTGTGTAAAAAAAATATGGGCGGGCGCGCGCTCCGGCTTGTATCTTCAGAGACCTTGGGTAGGAATTATAATACGTTATGATTTAATACATACATTGTTTAATTGGTGTAATGTTGTTTATTAATGCTTTTTTAATATGCACTTTCATATAATATGTGTTAATTAAAGACAATGATATTGTCTTAATTATTATATTGTCATTGATGCGTGATGCCACAGTTAAAACCAACAGTGTTATAATTTACTGTCTGTTTACCTCGCCCACATTGTTGTATACTATCAGATATATGTTGATAAGAATCTATACTTGTCTTGTATTTATGTTTGGCACATCTGATTGATTTGCAGGGTTTTCTTCATGCTGATGTACTTGTGTTACTGATGATCAACAAATAAATGGGCTCATCACCCAACCTACAATCAAGCTGCATATGGTCGAGTTCTTTGTGCCTAGACCCGGTCTACCTCCGTATTACGACATTACGACAAGAATATAAGGGGACATCCAAGTAGTTATAGTCCACTGCATGGATTGTTTCCGTGTCGTGCGCCCAATCAGCTGGAAAAGAGCATTTTTTTCCTTCTTTTATTTGCCCCGGAAATTGGAAAATTACGTCGTCAAATATTTCAGTGGCTTGGGGGGGGGGGGGGGGGGGGAGGAACACTTTTCTGGCCTCCTTATAGCACCGCGACGACAATTACCGACCACATACATGTATCAAGTCGATTGTCCTACTATGAGCTTGAATCAAATTATTAATTCATTAAACAAAATAATATTTTATGTCGATTTATGTTCCCCTATACAATATCACATTACTTGGTAGGACTTACATAATTATGGGACATATTCTGGACCTATGGATCCGTAATAATCGAGTTACACTTTAATTTATTAGCAACGAATTATGCTCTCCATGTATACTTACGTCTTAGGATTCTTCCAGCAGATCCAAGACTTCCGACTTCCAACATCCATTTGTCATCCGATATAAAGGTGTCAGTGATGATGGTGATGATATTCAAATTGCGTGATGCTTAAATAATACAAAAACAAAATAGGTGACATATCAGTCCGTATATGTATAAGCGTCTACGACAGCTGGGTGACGGTATTTACACCTTTTTACACTAACTTGGTACATGTAGGGGAACCGCATAAACACAAATGATCAGTATTCATCAATAATTTGGGAAGAAAAGAACGGTTGCCTAATTCCTTTTGTAAATTGCATTTGAGTGAGGTTGTGTAGAACCGCTCCACGTAGGACTTCACAGACAACGCAGACACGTGTGTGCACTGAGGGGTGACCACACTACCCTTTAAAAAAAAAACTCACAGTCGAAAGTTGGTTTTCCGTATTGATCGCTAATGATGACGTGGTGAATTGACGTTTTGTATTATCCTCTTCTTCGATTAGTTCCCTCGACTTTCCAAATAACCCGATATCTAATAGCAGACCTTTATAGGACTAGAAGAAATAGACAATCCAGGGGCTCGCGTTTAACAATTAAAAAACAGTTTCAAATTGTCTTTAGAAGCACATCATGATGCCAGTGACAATCAAAAGCACTTCCAGGGATTCCAAACGAGTACTCATGAGGCATCTAGCGCCCTTGTCCCGATATTTTCCCTTAAAATTCCTCCTCACACCGCTTGCAATCTGTAGTTCATGTCCGTGATAGGATACACAACCTTTTAATAGAAGAAACAGACACCTATCCAAGAAGTAGACCTGTATCCTATATCGATTCCCTTTCTGACTCCAAAGCATTCATTCAAAGCATTCGGCCTATTTTGTTAGGAAAGGCCTAGCTATACTCCTTGGCAAAGCTATTAAGCACATCCTATATTATTACGGTTAAGTGTTGACATTTTGAAGGCTGTTTAAAGTGATCAATGTTTGCGTTGCTCACGACAAGTAAACGATTGTCTGGAATGTTTGACTTTGCTCTCGACTGCATGGGCTACGTCGATGACCCCCTATTAGAAACCTTTGAGCTTTGACTTCATACCGCAATAGCAACGATTATGTCGCCACATATTTACATTGTCTCTGTAGAATAAAGGGATATGGATCTTGTTTAATCTTATAATAGGGGTGGGGTGGGGGAGAGAAAAAAAAACCTCTTTCAGTGTTTTTGTTTATTCCTATTAGGGTCCTTTACACATTAGTTCAGGGGTTGTAAATATTGAATGTAAATGAATAAAAATGAACTGCCAGTCAAGATAGTCCAATGATCTATAACTTCAGTAGTATACATGTACATGGTTACAATACAATTATATAAATGAAACTTTGTTGCATCCCCAAACTAGATTAGTTTTCTGATGAAACCCCCTAATGCAGCACCTTTATGTAGGTATGTGTGTTACATGTATAAACACATTTTATAAATGTGATATAACAATATAAGAGTGGGTCAAGACCGCCCGGGGGAACGCAACATTTCGAGGGAACACAGGGACTGAACGGTAAAATTAATCTTTGCGATCTACCGAATTACTCTTTGTTAAATACATGATTTAGGCCTACTACATTTTAAGAGAGAGCGCAACGACCAACAGCGAAAATGGTTCTGTATAGTGTGGTAAATGTTAAAGCACTTTCAACTGCTGATTAAAACCTCAGCATTTGATTTGATTAACAATACGATTTGAACAAGAATCAATGGTCGTGATTTTTTATAATCTATTTTGTTTTTTACTCGAGCTGATAGATTTGGATTGTTAAAGTTGTTAATGTGCATAATAATTAATTGCATTATGTTGAAGACGAAAAAAACGATACATATTTGCACAATTATATTGATGATCGTGTAGATTTTAGTACAAAGAAAAATAGTTCAGTACTAACATGCGGGTGATGAGGCAACCCTGAGTAAATAAGACCAAACTTGTATTTACAATCTATTTATTATCTGATATTCCGAACCACAATCAGTATCGAAGTCCGATTCTTCTCCGACTCAGAGATTTATGGAAGGAGGCTCGGAAGGGCTCTTGTCATCTTGCTGATTCGGCTCCTGTTCAAGCTTAATTTCCTCCGCTTTAAAAAAAGCAAAGAAATAAAAGAGAAAACAAGAAAAAATTCAGCATATTTCATGTTTTTTGCTGCCGGGATACTCCAACGACCAGGCGTGGATCCAGGATTTCTTAGGGGGAGGCCCAAATTTGAAATTAATTTGACATGTAGTGTGTTCAAATTTGAAAATCGTGCTGGCCGATATTTCGCTCAGTGGGGGGGGGGGGGGGGGGGGGGGGGGGGGGGAGTTAGTGAGCACAAATTTTACTCCTTTTTTTAGTGAGCACTAATTTTACTTTTTCTTTTTTAGCCCCCAGAAATTTGAAAATCGCGCCGGTCGATATTTCGCTCAGTTTTTACTCAACTCCTCCCCCCCCCCCCCCCCTTGAGCAAAAAAAGGGTAAATTTCTGGTGACAATTTTTTTTTTTGTCGCCAGGGGGCCGTTTTTTTTTTTTATGCCTCCGTTACGAAGTAGCCGGAGGCATTATGTTTTCGGGTTGTCCGTCCGTACGTACGTACGTCTGTACGTACGTACGTCCCGTTCTCGTGATCGCGTTATCTGAAGAACCGATTAATGGATTCCTGCCAAACTTTGGTCATGTATGTATCTTGCAGAGCCAATGAACTGATTAGATTTTGGGGTCACGAGGTCAAAGGTCAAAGGTCACAGGGCTCATTATGTATGCAAAAACAGCTTGGATCGCGTTATCTGAAGAACCGATTGATGGATTCCTGCCAAACTTTGGTCATGTATGTATCTTGCAGAGCCAATGAACTGATTAGATTTTGGGGTTACGAGGTCAAAGGTCACAGGTCACAGGGCTCATAATGTATGCAAAAACAGCTTGTGATTGCGTTATCTCAAGAACCGATTGATGGATTCCTGCCAAACTTAGGTCATGTATGTTACTTGCAGAGCCGATGAACTGATAAGATTTTGGGGTCACGAGGTCAAAGGTCACAGCGCACATTATGTATGCAAAAATAGCTTGTGATCGTATTATCATTAGAACAGATTGATGGCTTCCTGCCAAACTTAGATCATTTATGTATCTTGCAGAGCCAATGAACTGAGTAGATTCTTGTTTTATAAGATCAAAGGTCATGGGCTCATTATTTATGCAAAAATGGCTTGTGAACGCATTCTCATTAGAACTGACAGATGGATTACTATTTAACTCAGGACATTTTGCAGAACCAATGAATTGAGTAGATTTTAGGGTCATGAGGTCAAAGATCAAAGGGTCATATATGTATATGAGAAATTCAATCACGATATTCTGAGAACCTGTTAATGGATTACAATTGAACTTGAATTTGAAAAATTTCTTCCGTTTCAGTTTGTAAAATTGCTCTATGACGGAGGCATCATTTTTGACTGCGCGCAGTCGAATTCCATCTAGTTTTTTTTTTTGGCCAGGATGGGCGGGGGGCCACCCGGCCCCCTAGATCCGCGCCTGCCCATGACGGATGGGCAGGTCTCTAATAAATCTCTTCCTCTTATACCCAGACATCCATTATATAGATAATTAACTTGGTACCTATAACCTCGCCACCAAACTTGAGTCATCCTCCCTTGGACTCTTGTATCTCAATCGTCATTTAGCGAATACTATTTTTTTTAGACCTGGGAGGCTACCAACGTACGTACATTTTTCTTTGGGCATGTTATGCTAGTTAGGGGCCGGTAATAATTCATTATTGGTCATAACTTTTTCTTTTGGAACAAATGTTGCGTTGCAACCATGAGATACCGATTAAGTAAGAATGCACATAGTGATTGATTATCCCTTTATTGACCTATCTGGTGTTTTTTTATTAATGTTGTTATCAATATCATCAGTATTATTTTATTTTTTTCAGACAGTAGTCTCTAAAAATACAAGCAATATTAAAATAGATGTCTTTACCTAGGTTTCCTTTTACTAGTCTAGATTATTCAAATGGTTTCATATTGTAAATTACCACCATAAATGTTCTGATTAATTTAATTATTTGTTATGATCATCTTTTCTTCTTCTTTAAATATGTACATATACTCGTAAAGATTATATGTAATTTTATTTACTTTTGTAGGATATTTTTCATATTATTTTGTACATAACTTGAAGTTCTATATTTGAAGAAATAAAGAAGACATGTGGAAAATATTGGTGAACTTGATTCATTTATTTGTAAGTGAGCAAGTCATATATATATATATATATATATACCGGTACATGATATACATGTTTATAAAATGGGTTCAAGAATGTAGCCAATGAGAAGCGTCGAAATGGATCACACGTGCATGCATTAAATTTTACCATACGCACAGGAGTGCATTTTGGTGATAACCACCATCAATTTCTTGACTTTATGCTCATAGTGTAGACCCTTCTTATAAAACAAATAGTACATGTTTTTAGCTTGTGCATTAGTGATATGCACTGCACTCCGTTAAGTTCACGAGTCATACAATGAACTCGACAAGTCTTGTTCATTATTCTACTGTGAATTAACCTGCGTGCAGTGCATATTCACTAATGCACTCGCAAACATGTACTATTTTTATAATATCTCATTTCTCTTTTGACTTTCAAGTCACATTATTATATTGTGTGCTCACAATTTAATTTATTGAAACTATACAATTTGTTACATCGCCATATTTTGAGAATTTCTATATTGTACTCATTAAATGTCAAAATTCAATTCTTCCTCAGATTTGTTAAAAGGGGATGTATACCTCGATAAGAGCAGAAACGATAGAGAAACATATCCATGATTTGAGAAAGTCCTTTTAGATGAGGAGAGAATAATTTTTTTTTTTTTAATAAATGATTTATAATCGATCAAACACAAATTAGCAACTCTAAAACGTGTCTTACAAGGTCCTCTCTTATTTGCTCTATACTAAAAAATGCATCAATTTTTATACAGAATTCTTTTCATCATTCATGCAACAAAGGCCCATCAAAGAACACATGTAGGTACATGTTTTTACATAAGCCCTGCATGAAACAAATCAATTTCTTCACAAACAGTTAAGAAAAATGGAATTTAAGAGATTTTTAGAAAAGAGCAAACTAAGGAGCACCTCCAAAGATTAACCTGAAAGAAAGTGTAAGTCACAGTGTTGCAAACTTGTGTTTCATTGATAACAACTTCAAAAAGGAATCATTTTGTTTTCTCTTCATAATTTGTATCAAATTTTGCAGAAATTCACATTAATCTGTGCTCTCATTTGTCTGCTTTTTTAAAATTGAAACCAACATCACATCAAGTTGGACTTCCCCTAAACACTATACAAATATTCTGGCATTAAGATGGCACCAAATTTATGACAGCTTATGTCGATTTTTTTTTTAGCACATGCATGCTACAATTTGTTCACATGATGCTTACATTGTGATGATTAAATGATTAATCCTGTTTACTTCGTTGAGCATAACAGTAGGTCAGAGTTTTCTGAAGGTCTAAATGAATTAACTTGTCTTCCTCAAATTGGCAACAATTATTTGTATTTTCTACTCATGTATAGTTTTAAAAATATAAAATGTATATTAAATGAGGCAGTGTACATATAAATATTAAAATATCAACAAGACATTTTTAAAATAAAAAGTACACGAAAAACAGTGAATATAAATTTCACTATGCATTGTCAATTAAGAAACTTTATTTTGAATTAAATCACTCTTAATCATGAATGGGCACAATGTAATGTAACAGAAATGGACTCAAATTTTTAAACTGTTTTTTGCACATTTACAATACTAATAGCATGTAATTCAGAGCATTCTCGAGACAAAAATGAAATATTATTAAAACGTAACCCTGAACTCGTATATCAGACCATTCTGATCCTGGTTGCAAAAGATTTTTAACCGATGACCATTCATAACAAGATGGGCATAAGCACTTTTCTTATTTGTTTGAGTGCCATTTCAAAGAATATGATCAAATTCTCATCCGACACTATTTCGCTTCACAGAGCATAGGCAATAAATACTTAAACAGGATCCCATTGGCTTTAAGTAGCATGAACACTGTTTTTTCCTTATTGCTTGAGTGGTGTCATTTTACAGGATCTGCAGTTCTACAGCCATTCAAGTCCTTTAAAAATATTTGGCTGCACGTTTGCTTGAGTGGTGTCATTCTACAGGATCAACAGATCTACAGCCATTCAAGTCCTTTGAAGATATATTTGGCTGCACGTTTAAATGATCTCAGTCTGCCCCCATTGGTTCCTCACAGTCACGCGACTTGGAGTTGACGATTTCTCTCCGCACTTCCGGCGTGATTGACGGATGGAGGTGAGCCCTGAGCAGCTCCATGAGGGCCTCCTTCTGCTCGGATGAGATGTCTTCCTTGTATCGTTGAGCAAACGCTAGAAGAGCCTGGTGCCACAGTACAGGTAGCTGGCGCTTGTCGTGTACAAATCTGTGAGGAAGAATAGAGGTAGATTTGAAGTTACACAGGAAAAAAGAGTTGGATGTACATTTTTTGTTTCCCTTGAAAATGTACTAACGGAACCTGTCTACAAAGACCACTTTTTGTGTTTCCCTTGGGTGGTCGCTATAGACAGGTTTGACTGTACTTAAAGAAATAATTGTGGGTTCTCATGGGCAATTTGACATTCTTCTGCTATTTACCCGGTAATGGGTGTTCTTAATCACAGAGAGTGCAATTTTCTTTGAAGGCTGACAAGTCAATAGTACTGGTAACCTTTACCAAATTCAGACAATCTGCCCCGTAATAAAAGTTAATCATCATAAAATATGCCATTGAGCATGGATAGTGAAGATTATATGATATTTCATGCTTTTCCTTGCATTAGTCCACACATTATTGATGTGCATTTCAGTACTCTTCGTTGAGGATTGATTAATCATTTACATATTCAATCTACACTTGTTTTCTCACATCCTCGTTCATCCCCAGAACTGTGTACCTCTGGAGCCAACAACCAACAAGCTCTTTTACTTTAGGCTCCTTCATATCCTCTTTTCCATTTTTACTAAATCTCTAATTTACAAGTCAGACAAGCAAACTTAAGTGTTTGATTGTATTTTTTTCTAACGATTAATCATATACCTAACTATTTTTATCATCATTACATTTCTTGTAAACAAAACTGACAGCGTGTAATGGAAAATGGCCGGGATGTGAAATATGCAGGCCGCGTCTTTTTTAAACGTAACCTAGCCATCCTAGCGCTGCATATTAATATTTGAATATATGAATATTTAGGTTGGTAAATGTGGTGGAGACCAAATTTATCGGCCAGATTCTGAACTAACCAGTATGTCACAATGATTATGGACAAGTTACAACAAGTTACGATAGTCATTCGTTTACTGTAAGCGTCCCGATTTAGTCACAATTTCATTTATTTTAAGTAAACTTAGCTTTGCACTTGTACTTTTTGTATGAAATCTCATATTTGATAAATTATCGCATCAGATTCTGTGTGCGTGCGTATCATGAATATGTATGATTAGCGCATGACGTATAGGTCCCTATTGAGCCAATCAAATGCAGCTGTAGGATGGCTAGGTTACATTAAAAAAGACATATGCAGGCCATACTGCTTTGCACTGACCTGAGGAAGTGATATACGACCGCATCAATGACCCTGAAAGGAAGTGCGTACTTCTTGTCGACCAGAATCCTGAGGAAGATACTATTAACTCCACTGTAGTCCATCTCAGCAAGTTTCAGCATCGCGGCAGACGAGTGAAGAACAGGAACGGTCGATTTGGCGAGAACGCTCCCGACGATGACTGCCTCGCGCAAAGTACAAGTCCCGGACTGCGAAGGATAACAACAAAGTATTGGAAAAAATAAGTGAATGATTGGGAACACAATACTCAACTATAAAGATACACCAAAATAATGTAATATTCATGGGCCAATGTGTCAAAGTACTTGAATGATAAAGCAGAATATATTAATGATGATAATGATGTTGATAATAGTAATAATTAAGTAAAATTGACTGCCTTCTGGGCAATACGACATATATCGCCCGAAACCGAAGGTGAGGGTGATATATGACAAGTCGTATTGCCCTGAATTAGGCAGTCAATATTACTATTATTAACCACATCAGACATCTAGAGCAAACAAGAAACTCTTACTATCTTATACTCTTAAATTATGTAGCCTACACTGCACAGGATGTCCTAGCATTAGAAGTTGCAAAAACATCGTCAAACCAGCACTGTGCATCCAGTGCTTGACAAATTTTCGATACACCGCAAACAGTGTGCCTAGGGTGTGATTGTTACATCACAATAGAGTTCCCGCATAGTGCGCATTTTCTTATACGCGTAAGACACCAGCAGCGTAATATACCAGCAGCTGGTGGGCGATGAAATTTACAACTGGCTCGATTATTGCTCACTAGTTTAACACACATTTTGCCATTGACTTTTCAGATCGGGCAATAATATTTGTTCATTGGTTTACTGTATTACCGTATTGGTTTACTGTATTACCGTATTGACCGGCAAATTACACACAAACTCCCACTGACTTTTCTGAGCGGTCAATAATATTTTTTTCGCCAGTAGTTTTGTTGGCTCATCCATCAAACCTTGAGGGCAATAACATTTAAAAATTGCCCTGCTCAGATGTCAGATACGGTTAATAATAATAATGATCACATTAACCCCCCCCCCCCCCCCCCCCCCCCCCCCCCAATCAGCCACGGACAGTACAGTTGACATGACATATACAAATGACTCTATTGTAATTGGTACACTTTTAAAATAACGTAAGAAATCTACTCACCTCACAAAGAGGAAGGAGAATTCCTTTGAAGAAAGCAGCGGGCTTGAACAGAGCCTTCTTTAATGCCTAAATAACCAAAAAGGTGAACATGTGACAAGATTAAATTGACACAGATGATTTCGAGCACGACGGCCAACTTATGCCAACAGCAAAGTAAACGAAAGTCATGCTTCTCAATGTTCTGTAATAATGTTTCTTAACCCTTACTGTACTGGGCTATTTCGAGCACTCTCTGACTGGGGGGGGGGGGCCTGGGAGGCCCCCCCCCCATGATCTCGGCCGTCGAATGTCCGATGAACGCGAAAATTTGCATGTTTGTAGATATTTACGTAAGGAACAAGACAACATTCCGTACTGATCCTTAATTTCCGTACCAATTACGGGAAATCCGTACTAGTTGGCAGCTCTGACAGGACAATGCACCAACTGACAGCCGATGGTGCCATATTTATATTGGACTACTCTCAGTTTGAATATGATTATCAATTTATTATTTTCTGTGCAAATTTGTTTGCATTACAATATTTTTCTGTACTTATGATGTACATTTTGCTCTCATGTTAATAAGTTCATATTCATAAGTTATACCAAACTTTTTATGCGCCCAATACGTTTTCACACTTATCTTGGTATAGTTGCTTGCACCATGTTATAGTTTTACATAAATTTTATCATGCTTTAAAAGTGAGATGTAGAAAGAAAGAATTCACTTAAATTTAAAGGTATTATGCAGATCAAGTCATTATTAACCCAAATAATTACCATGTATAGATGAAAGTTTAACCTCTTGAATTCCGCAATATCATCCTGTATTCTCGGCAGTAGAATAAGATTGTAGAACCTGACAGAGAAATAAAAATGTGGCATCACAATATTACACAAATATTTACTGCTTTGAAGTTAAAATTAAAGTGATCTCAAAACTGTACTGTGCTCGGAGACCAAGTCAATTGATTGTATCTCAACATAATTAATTGTATCTTTACAACAGAGAGTAACCTATGATTAGTGTTATGTTACAGATAATAATAATAATAATAATAATATTGGATATTTATATAGCGCACATATCCACCCTGCATGGTGCTCAAAGCGCTCCAATAAAACCCCAGCTCTGCTAGGCTACCGATGTCGGTGCTCACAGCATTCAAGGAATTACTTCCGACCGGTTCCCATTTAATTTAATGAAAAAATGAATTGTGTATGGAAAAAAAAATGTTAATATCTTTGTTTACCTTTCTGTTGGAAATGAAATAAATATGAATATGAATGTACGGTAAGAAACAATCAATTTCAGAAAGATTTAAAACAATGGATTGTAAGTCAATTTTCATGCTACAGGGCCAACCGGCCAAGGCGTTTTTATTATATTCAGAGAAAGAGCAGAGCTGCCAACCTGGTGCGACCAAAAAAAGGAACCATGATGGCAAAAAGAAGGAATTTCAAGCAAAAAAAAAGGAATTCAATAAAACGAAACTTACAACCACGCGCGACACACTTCCAATGCAGAAATGTCCATTCCTTGTGCTGTTTTTTTTATACATATTAGGACCTATAGTTTATTTACAAGCAGGTATTTTTATGGTTATATTTTGGTATTATCGGCGTTTCATTCTTTCTGAAAATATTGTTTTAAAGTATGTTTTAACCTTAGTTTTTTACTGAATTTGTGATCAAATCAACAGTTAAGGGCAGTTGTTTGACGTGCTGTATGTAAAAAAAAAAAAAAAAAAAAAAAAAAAAAAAAAAATTATAAAAATTATTTTAAAAAATGTATTTTATGAAGAAAAAAGGTACTACAGTAATTAGGAGGAAAAAACAGAATAATTCCAGGATAAACGTAATGGTTGGCAGCTCTCTGAAGGAGGCTTTTTTAGAGAGAAGAACGCTCACCTTTGAGCCATCTTGGCGTTGAGGTTACTGGAGAAAATTCTTGTTGCTTGATACATGGAAGCTGCCGTCCATTTGTCAGGCTCTGTGATGTACAGGATCTAGAAGAAGAAGAAGAAACATTCAGCCTTTTCACACACAGCTAAAATTCATTGTATCTAGAGCTGATTAGTTTAAAGCTGTCACTATGAATATGACTGACAAAGAAAGCGGACAAAATATACAGTTCCTCAGGTAGACAAAGGAACATCTCTTCACTGCTATTATGTAAAAATGTGTAGAACAGGTGTCCCATGCATATTCACCTGTTCTACACATTTGTACATAATAGCAGTGAAGGGATGTTCCTTTGTCTACCTGAGGAACTGTATATTTTGTCCGCTTTCTTTGTCTGTCGTGTTCATAGTGTGTTTAACTAAACAGTTTTACACAGCTTTAAAGAAAAAATTTCCCTGTGTGAACGTCGTTTATATGATGTTCAGACAGATACGAAGTCGCGATTCATACACCTTTCAAAGCAGGCTGCAGATACGAAGTCCGTATCTAGAGAGCTTGACATTTTATGTGTAACGGTTATACGTGTTTAAACTGGATGGAGCGCGCGCTTTACTTGATATGACCTGACCTTCAATGCGCAATGGCACTACTGCGCATTTTAAGAGCAGCTAATCACGAAACGTTCGCACCGAAATTTCTGTGTGTGAATGATGTCGTATGTAAAGCTGATTAGTTTAAAGCTCTTTAAACTAATTAGCTTTAAAGAATTTTACTCGTGTGTGAAAAGGCTGATAGTCACAATCACTGATGTTGCTCACAGTTTGAAGAGAAGGTTGTATTCTTGTAAAGGTGATAAAGTAATCTGTGAGCTTTCTAATTCTTTGCATGGCAGTTTGGAAGAATATCACATTGAAAAATGCCCCCTGAAATTGAGGATGATTGCCCTTATATTCGACATATGCCCAGAAGTAGCTGAAAAGTTTGAACTAAGCTTTTATGCCACATGTGTGTGTGTGGGGGGGGGGGGGTGGGTGTGTAGTCCCATATACCCATTTCTGTGTACAGAGCAAGAGATTTTCAGCAAGGCTGGGTCACTTTCTCGTCATTCTGATGCTTAATGGTAAACAAAACTTCCTTTGTGCTTCATAATATCCACCTTTCCAAATAACTTTTAGTGGTCAAATTCCTACACTAACCCAATTCCTAACCCTATATCATGAAAAAATCCTGGGGGGTACCACTTAGGCATTGTTTACTATATAGAAGACGCAAGTAGCTACAAGTAGTGCAGTCCCCCTTTAAGACTTATTCAGATATGCAGTAGTAAACCATGACACAAGTTTTTATGGATGATGCAACTTGTAATATGTTTCACATTTTGTATCTTTTAAACACAGCGTTTAAATGAAAACGCATAAGACTTTGTTGTGCTCAAATGCCATTTGGTTACAAGTGGCTTTTTTATGGCGGCATTTTTATACTATTTCATAGCTGACCGATATATCCAGGTCATATCCAGGCAGATGCTAAGGACCTGGGCCCCTACCATGGTAACAGGGCTCAACAGCCAATCAAAATCAAGGTTTCCACGGGAGTTTCGATTGATGGCAAAGTTACCATCAATGGTAAGTTTTGTGCAACTGGGCCCAGAAGGCTTGGAAAAAAGGCCAAAAGGGAAATGAAATGTCAAACGAAAACAGACGCTATACAATGATCATGATGAAAGGAATGAGCCTTTATCTTACCTGTTCCCATGATTTGAGTGCAGGAAGGATCTTAAATGCCTTGGGTAGTTTACCGCTACGATACCTGGAGAGAATCTGCCCTACTCCTTTGTACACCTGCACAACTCTATCGTCTAACTCTGGAGGAGCCATACCAGATTCTGTACTCATGAAACAAGAATTTAGACAACATTAAAGGAAAAGTCAACCTCAATTTAGGAAATTGCTCTGAAAGAAAGCAGAAAAATCAGAAGCAGCTTTATATTAGTTAGAATGAAATCTGACCAAAAAAAAAAGAAGAAATTTGTGATTTGTTTAAACGTATACGTATACATGGTGGTCCACAAAAACAAAAATACAAATGTGTAATATTGGAATGTGAAAAGAGTGTGTATAGACTGGTGTTATCGTTGTAATTATCATCATCATTATTTTCACTTTTATTATTATCATCACCTGTCATCTGTGATGCTACCTCTGTCTTCTTCTCCGTGAGCTTCTCCATGATGATGTCAGCCAGAGTGCGTCTCATCGGGGCATCCTTCGACATGAACTGCTGTAGCGCCCTCTCGTCTTCTTCATCTACATCCTGAGGGACAGGCAAAGGGAATGAACAGGAGAGATCTTACAACAATCATCTTTAAAAAGAAATTCCTTTGTTATAGAGGCAGTATGTTCTTTCCTTGTATCGTAAAGAAGAAAGCAGGAGAGAAGGAACTATAATGGGATGAATGGCAGTCTTGTAACGTCAATGCTGCATCAAATGAATGGGACAAAACATGCATGTTGTAATGCATGTAAAACCGATCACCAATTTTGTTTGTTTTGTTCTGTACATTAAATGTTCCATGTCAATAGATTTTGAGGGCTTGCGAATCTCTGATAGGGGCTTTAAAATGGCCAGCGATCATCATCGTCGCCTGAATTTTTAAAATTCATGTTTTTCAAATGGTGTAAACATTTGGAATGTGCTAGAGTATGATACAAGGTGGTTACTATTCTTGACAAGCCTAGAATAATAGACTTACAATCTCATCAAAGAACTGGCCGTCATGCTGGGCTAACTCTTGGTCCTCTTCCTCTTCATCATCTGAGCCATCTGGTCTTGTAGGGCCAAGACTTGTGGCAGGTTTCTTAGATGGACCAAGTCTAACATGAGAGAACAAAATAGAAAATTATACACCAAATGATCTGATATACTGCAAATTCAGAATTACATGTCATTATGTAATAGGATTTGATTTTTAGGTTTCATAATTTTTCTAATGTAGGTACATAAATTAGGACAAAGATAGTATGTGACAACATATTTCAGTCATAAACCTTTTGTGATCTCCGAAATCGCTTCATTTTAAGGAAATAAACTTTTAATAATCTTACCACATTCCCATACTTGTCTGTTTTCCCTTCTCTGTGTATACATTTATAAATCATATTTGTATAGAGCTTAATTCTACATTTTTAAGCTCTTTACATTTATTCAATTGCTAATCTGTACAGGATAGTGCATATATGCTCCTCTCCCTTGGGGAGTATTTGGGTCAGGCTCCATTTTTACAAGCGCATACATGCCAATCTAACCACATTAACATTCGCATCCTACCGGGTACCCACTTAATACCTGGGTGTAGATTAATGTCTTGTCAAAGAACATTGGTGCCCCAGTGGGTCTTGAAGCATGAACCATGTGATCCACAGTCAAGGGACATATCAACCAAAGTGATCCTCCTTGTATCAACTAGACCACAACATCTCTATGTGCAGTTATAACTTTCACTAACTTTGTTTTCATCTCTAACACCAGTCAAAAAACTACAAAACAATTTTATAATATCAATGGGCTTTTGCAAGTAAGCAATTTATGGTGGCAGTCACAGTAGGTAGAAAAAGAAGGAAAATATTCTTATTCCCCAAAGGACACTGCCTTCAAAAGTTTTCTGAGAAAGTTGCTGTTGAAATTCAGTGTCAAAGTGCATTCTCAACATTTAACAGGACCATTTGCCGACGGGAACCGGGTTGATCCTGTTTATATAAGACTATGGGAATACAAAATATCAGTAGATATCAGGTTTAGCTTTGATAAGTGTAGATCCTCTACCGCCCTCTACGTACCTTGTCATCCCATGTTCTATTTCAAGTTCATCTTGCTGGAGCCTTGCTTGCTCCAAGATCTTCCTTGAAAGTCTTTCGTCAACGAACTGAGGGAGGAGAAAAATGAATTTACAAACTTGGTCCTGGACATGCCATAGAATTGTGAAAGAAACTCTCTTGAAGTCATTTTGAAGTGTTATTATGTGGTCCAAAAAAATAATTGTGTACCGTTATTCATTGCGAGGTTAGGAATCATAAAATTACAAAGAAAATAAAAAAGTATTTTTGTTGAAAATCACATGCTTTGCCAATTTTATACATACTTTATTACAGCGGTTAGTTTAGTGTACTTGGGCGCATGCAAGGAATATGCTACATTTTGCACACACATTTTAAACGGGAACGAGGTATATTATTATTAGCCTAGCATGTAGAACTTTGCGCATAGAGCGCTGTACAGTGAGTTTGTAAACAACGCGCTCCCATTGGCCAATCCGCTCGAGTGGCTTCGGATTTTAAGTGAGAGAGGGCCTACTCAACTTAATAAGCGCAACTTAAGTTCAATGGCAATTAATGCCAATACATAATATTACATAACACACCGACATGTCATGCTTTAAACAGGTGATGCAATTCACACACAACTGACGCACACATGCATTGCACACATATAAAATAGGGGAAATCAGTGAATATTTCAGAACAAATTTCTAGTTTGAAAATGAGAATTTTTCAAACATAAAAATAGGTTACGTAAGACATAAACTTATATATCTAGAGTGAGTCTATGTGAAATACCTCACCTTTTATTAGAATGCTGAAAAAATTCTGAAATATCATTATTTTGGTATCGGATCAAACAGAAAATCGCATCTCCTCGCACCAATATCTTATAAACATTGAGTGAATGGAAGCAAGCGTTAGCCAATAAGAAGGGCCCTTGTTGGCGCCAATTTAGGAAAATGAGGCTACAATTCACCGAGATCGGTTGAACGTTATGCGCATGTGCTAAATGTAAGCTGAAGTTATACGCGCATTAGCCTCTTGTCGATCGCCCTGACGCTGTTGGAGTCCGTAAATTGAGTCTCTGAATGGATGATTTTCACCGAACTCAGTTGGGTCGGAATATTCGCCAAACATTGAAAACCATAAGAAATTCAGATCACTTGATAAGAGGCCCTCGGCGCAAGCGGCTCGTATCAGGCTCACTTCGCTCTCCAGAATTTTCGAACTCCAATAGCATGCAAGGGCCATCGACAGGAGGCTATACGCGCATCGCCGTCGAAGCTCCCTGGAGTTAACTCTATAGATCTAGACTAACTCCAGGAAGCTCAGAGCCTCAGACGCCGATGCCGAAGGTGGTGCATCGAAAAACATTCAAACAGCAGGTTGGGCAACATTATCTCAAAATATGCAAAGGGAGTAATTACAATTTTGCGCGGTAGTGCGAATTTTTTCTTCGCCGGTTGAATCAACGATACAACATGGAACAATCGCTGGGGTAGGACGAAGAATCACCCCCTTTTTCCATCGAAGACTTCTTCAAATTATAATTTCAAGTTGCCAGAACGATGCCCAGAGGAGTCGAGTAACCTTGAGAGTCAAAATTGTAATTACTTTCTTTGCATATTTTTAGATAATGTCGCCCAACCCGCTGTTTGAATGTTTTTCGATGCACCACCTGAAGCTCCGACGCCTTCGGCATCGGGGTCGGAGCGGAGCTTCCTCCTGGAGTTAGATCTAGACTAGACTTTAGGCTACATGAAATCCCATGTATGGGACCGAAGAATGCCTTACAGTGTCATCCTCATCCTTTCGTCCACGTTCCTTCACTCGTTGAGTCATTTTCAGAGTGTCTTCATTTTCTATCTGCTCTGCAAGGGATCCACTTGTGGAGATGGGGTCTCCTCTTTTGGGTCGATTCTTCTTCGTTTTCCCCATTTTTCCTTAGCCGACGTGAGAAACAATATTTTCCTTTTCACGTGTGATTGAAGACAATTTAGTAATAGCGCCCGCAAATGCTACGGTACGGTACAGTATGCATATGGACAATGATCATATCCCATTCATTTTCAGTTGCATGTGGCGATTGCAACACAAGTCTTTCTTTCTAATTTTCTGCATATTTCTGCTCTAGACTCTGCGTATATTCTACTTATCCTTAAAGACTGCATTTTACATTTGACAAAGAAAGAGAGGGGTGAGTTTTGTCATTAGCAGGTACTGTAATTTGAAATCGAGTACACTCGACAGTGCACGATCTGAGCTGAGACTCACTCAACTCGGCTCAGTGCTAGTGCAGTGGGTCGAGGTGTATTTACTATCCTGGCTGTGAATCAATAGCTGTGCTATTGATTCTCAACATTTCAAACACCACTGTACAAAATTCAACTGATTTCACTCAAAATCGGCACTTTAGTGACGATTGATGACACCTAAATAGCAATAAAATACAATTTTTTTCAACTTTCCAATGTTAAAAAGAATAATTTAAAAATTCAATTGTGAGTCCACTGTCAAACTTGCCGATCAGCCGCATCGGCATGATTGTGTGCATCTGTGTGTTATGAGTGTATTGACTATTCATGTATTCAAATGCTGCCTAGATCTATTAACAGATAGTGCAGTGCTAGTGGTCAATACGCATCGACTCTCTATGCTTTGCTGGAGTGAGAGCACAGCCTGTTCAACATTAACAGATTAACTTCGAACAAAGACTAAAATGAGTCGAAGGACGATTAGTCTAACAATAGATTCATATTTGCATCATGTTGATGACTAGACTAGTATAGTCTAGGACTAGGACTATGCTGTAATGTAATTGTGTGTGTTAAAACGAATTTACTTGTCTTTAGGCCGAGATCTAGATTTTTTAGAGAATTAGAACTAGATCTAGAGTCTAGATCTAGGCCAAGACTGATTGAAACAAAAAATTGGTTTATTTTAATATCATTGGTACTCGGTAGGCTAGTGGCGCGGCGCTAGTCCGCGAATGAGGATCGTCCGCATAAACGAGAATGTCCTCGTTTATGCGGACCAAACAAATAATGAAATATGCATCCTTAAAAATAAGGATCGTCCGCACATTTTTTTTCTTCGGCACTCTGCAGGTTTCAGGTTCCCGATCCGCGCGCTGGCGATGCGAAAAAACAGATTCCACATTATAAAATACCCCCAGTTCACCGTCTACGTCAATGGGTTGCCCATCTCCCCGAGGATTTATCGCTCATAACGTGAAAGTCTCTGTACAAAGTCAATGTAAAATGCATCAAGAAAATCATCGCGAAATCTGTTTGGCGCTAAACACGAAACAGGTAAGAATCATAACTTTAACGACTTATGACTTAAACTTAAATCATGACCAGTATTTGAACAATTGGTGAAGATTTAACAGATTTTCGGTATGTTTTAGTAGGGTATCTTCTTGAGGCCGGAGTTCCGTGTCAAAGTCTGGATAGACTTCCGAACTAGCGCCATCCGTTTTTCGCATCACCAACGCGCAGACTGTAAATGAGAATCCTCCGCGAAATTGCAACGATACTTTTTTTTGCGGATGCATCTGTCTGTGTTTACAAAGACGATCCTTATTCTCAGACCAGTGCCTCTACTGTTCATGGATAGAGTCATCACTCCATATCGTCATCATGTCTTTTTTTTAGCTGAAGCAGCGTGAGCTGCAGCTGAGCCTAATACTTGGCTTCAGAGAGAGACTATTAGAATTACATGTAAACTATTAGTATTACATGTTATGTATAATCATAGTACAGTTTGGATTGGGGGGGGGGGGGGGTCAAGTGTCTGAATGGATTACCGGTATGTGAATGTTATATTTGATTTGTATTGCTTTTGAGTTTTGTTATCATTTTCACATAACATCTTCTGCTTTTCGGCCAAGGTATCCTTTGATCTATTATTTTGTCAATTTGTATGTACATGTACATGTATGACTGCTACATGTATACCTGTATTTGGTTTTATGTGTTGCCATCTGGCATCATCCCCCCCCCCCCCCCCCCCCCCCCCCCCTCCCCCCCCCCACCCCTCTGCACACACACAAACACACACACACACATACTGTACACAAAAACAAAATTCACCTGGTCCTATACCCAATTTTCAATTCAATGATGTTGCTTGCTTTTGTTAGACGGCAGATGGCTTGCACTCAATAAAAAGAAAAATTATTTGACTTTGAAGCTAATCTTGAGCTCTGGTATTGGAAACGTGTTTCGAGAAAGAATTGCTATAATACATTCTGGATTGTTTATCCTGCAGTAGATTGATTGTTTGAACCAGTAAAATAAAAACAAAATCCCCAAAATTGCTTGAAATCATCTTCAATAAAAACCACAACTCTCGTTTGCACATACGGTATGCTGTGTTTAGCACATGGTGTCAGGCCTATATATTTACTGTTACCTTGATTTCCTTATAAATATATTTCTATGCTTACTTGGCCCTAAACATTTTGTTTGGCACTTGTCATATAATCTTGAACATTCAGTGTACCGTAAGTTTCTATTTTTACCAGAACTCAAGAATATCGTTAATATTGTTAGGAAATCAGTTATCATTGATCCAGAAAGTTTGAAGTGTTGCCAGAAAACTGTTTACCGTTATTACATTTTTCCACAGCATAAAGCAGTAAAATAGCATTTTATGTCAAATTACAAGAAAAAAAGATCAATGCATTTTGAAATCATGAGCTGAAAACTTAAAATTGAACATTTACTTGTTTGTTTGTTTATATATTTATTTATTTATTTGTTTATCAATCCATTTATTTATTACATCTTGTTCATTGTTTCCTGTTCTTTATTTCCTCTCCATTTGACCTTTGACCTTTGTATCCAGCCATGGCACGTGGACAGCAAAAGATTCAGTCCCAGCAGAAGAGGGCAAAGGAGATTGAAAAGAAAAAGAAAGCTGCCGCTGGAATGGACTCCAAAGCGGCCGGTCAGAAGGCCCTGACATTTAAGTGCATAGTTTGCATGGTTAGTATCACACATTTGATTCTCAGCATAGTGTAGGGGTGTTGTGATCTCATCTGGCATAGCTGCCAGCCATCCCTATATTAATGAGAAAATGATTCCTATGTGTTGGTCTTTAAATTCATGTAAAAAAAGGAACCATAGATTCCTCTCTTTTTGTTTCTGAAAACTTTTGTTTCAAAAATATATGAGAAAGTAGTCATTATTTTGCCTTGAGAGATGCCTGATTTTTGCTGTGAAAAAGTGACATGCCAACAGCCAAGTTACCAAACTGTGGATCTTAAAGGCATCGTTTAACAATGTTAAATCTGAGATGCATGGCCCTATGTGTTATTAGTGGCTTTGATATGGTGTAATATTGAAGCCCTAAAAAAATTGAGCTTCAAAATGATCATGAAGTGCCTAAAAAAAAGTAAAAATCTTTGAGTGACAGGTATTACCGGATTTCCCCTAATAGACTGTAGTGTTATGAAAACCGTTAGGAAAACGCAATTTTTTTTCTCAATTTCCAATCATAAATATCTTGGTAATCAGACAGGCGGTCGGCTTGTAAAAGTCATGGGGTTCCTCGCTGACCTAAAGGTGTATTAATCATCATTGTAGCATGAGCTAAATCCAGGATTTTGTTTTAGAATCTGAGGCAAAGTTACCCAATCCTTTAAACTTTTAAAGGGACTTGGTAACATTGTTCAGATGAGAGATAGTGGTGCTAAGGTAGCGACTTCAATGCTAGTACAATTAAAGATAATCTGAAAATTTGAGTGAAAACGGACCATTATTCATGGTACAAATTGAGAAAAACTGATCTGATCAATTCCTTTATTCTCCCAACTATATTATTACAATTTAATTACATTTTACACACTGTAGGTGAATTGAAATCACACAAAGCAATAAATGGCTCTACATTCCATTCCAGACATTTCAGTGTTGACCTATTTTTGTATAGCCTGTTTTATGTCTTTTTTTCATGGGAAAAAGGTTGGGAAAATTCAAAAATGGTTGGGAGAATTTACTGTTGATCACTGTTAGACGGTGTCATACATCGACTCCTTCAAAGAAAACCAAAGATGTCTTTGTGGTTTGAGAATTTTTTCAGGATTTTTGGCATGTCAGAGGGTAAGTACAGTAGAAGGAATATAGTAAGTAACATTTTATACAAAAATTAAGCAATTTTTTCATCAACCTTCAACAATGTTACCAAGTCACTTTAAGGTACTGGGACCATTTCCCTGCATTTCCACCGATCACGTCATTTGCTGAAACTAAAGCTGGATTTAAGTGCACAGAGGAATATATGTTGTTATGTGCAAAAAAATAACATTGTATTGTTGTTGTTCATAGTTGCATTTGCATGTACATGACTGGTCATGTCAAGCTCTTAATAATCGTTGGCTGTCGGCACAAAGGCCTTACTGCCATTGACAAGATGTAGCTATTGGAGCCTTTTTGCAAGCAGCTGACAATATCACATTATGATATTATGTTCCTTATCCTACCCTATGTTACCCCTAGCTTGAGCTCCTCCAGCCGTTATTAGCGCACATTGAAAATTCAAGTCCATATATTCTGCCAGATCCTTGTTTAACACCAGAGTGGGGGGGGGGGGGGGGGGGGCAGCTGTAGGTAAAGTGCTTTGCCTTGATGTGCAAACACACTTAACATAAGGGACTTTTAGATTTGCACAACGACAACGTGGATTGTTACGATCGACGTCCTTTTAATGCACTGCCTTGAATGGACGTCACACGTATCCGTCCATGCAAATCTAAAAGTCCCTACTCCCTACTAACATACCTGGGCTACTGTGCACATATTACTTGTGTGCATACTTGTTACCTATTGAACACACCTGTCTGGTACATAATGTATGCACATGCTTGGACAAGTTGAAAACATGTTCCTAATGGATAGTATGAAAGTAATCAATAGAGCTTGGTTCTCTGTGTACAAGTGATATGATATCATCTATGTAGAGAGGGAGAGCAGTATGGACAGGATGACTTTCAAACAACAAGATTAGAACATTCTTAAAGTTTGTTGCTTCTTTGTAGTGCTGTGATAATACTGCAAACCATTGCAGCATTGGGGACTGGTCTTACGTGACTGAAATACTGCTTTTGTTTTTGGTAAATTTACTCACAGCACTGCTTCTTTGCAGCTAATCGAGAATACAAAATTTGTTTCAAATTTTCCATCATTAGTAGCACTTGGGATTACTTTTAATTATATAATAATAATGATAATGTTTTATTTGCCCAGGGTAGCCACTTCAGTTATGAAACTGCTCTTCCAGCGGGCCCTGCATAACATAATATGTTACTACTACTCTTCTCCAATCTAATATGCTGAGCGCCTAGCTAGAAGGCAGAAGGTCCCATTGTTATGAGTCTTTGGTATGACTCGGCCGGGGTTCGAACCCATGACCTCCCGTTCATGAGGCGGGCGCTCTAACCACTGAGCCACCATGCCCGGTTACTTTAAGCTCCACTTCTACTATTCTTTGTTCATATGTCTTCTCAATGTTCCCTAGACCCAGATGCCTGACCCAAAGACATACAAGCAGCATTTTGAGAACAAGCACCCAAAGGCTACTCTTCCACCCGAACTCAAATAGGAAACCTCCACAACCAAGGTGAGCTCCATCATTGGTACTCTCTCTCCCAGGCCTGATAAAAACCCAATTTTTTTTTTTATACTTTTCCTGATTTTTTTTCTTCTTCCCGATTTAAAAAGAAATAAAAAATAATCCTTATTTTTTTTCTTCCTTATTTTATCCTGATTTTCCCCGATTCCCCCCTTATTTTCTCTATTCTTCTATTGGGTTTCAAGAAATATGAAATAGACCCAACCTACATGCATTAATGTGCACAGTTTCAATAAAACAAAAATGATAACAGTTTTATTCAAATGATTTTGTGCAGAATGTTTTGTAATTGAAATGTATACCGTCTTCATGAAGCAAATATGGAACACTACTTATCAATCGATTCAGTAATTCTATGGTGGTATTAACCACTATTATCTGTTCTTATTATGCAGGAAGTGGATGATTAGGGTAAGAATGACATCACTTCCTGTTTATTAATTGCATGATTAAAGAGAAGGTTGAGTTCTGGGAAGAGGTGAAAAATAATTTGTGAGCGTTATCATTCTTATTATGCAAGTGTGGAAGAACATCAGATAAGACATGTTCCCTGAAAAGCATGGCTCTTCAAATGCCTTCATATTCTAAATGTGTCATGTAACATCGTAAAAATCGAGACAGATTTTTATGCCACGTGTTTGTGTAGTCCCATATACATCTTTCTGTGTACGGTGTTTGTATCTTTACCGAGACTTGGCTAAATTTCTTATCATTTTGATGATTCCAGAACCTTGCAATACACACGAATGCTTATATGCTAGATGATCAACATTTTCTGGTCGATTCCACACCGTTTCACAATGCAATCGCATGACCAGAACTCAACTTCATCTTTAAGGGCAAGAGTAGTACATAATCAACATTGAACACTATTATGTAAAATAATGTTTGAAAAAACTTGGTGGTACGATTTGTATACAAGGATTTAAAATACAGGTAAACTTGAGATCTGGGCATGCAATTACATTGTGGACGAAACTGTGTGGCACTGAAAGCCTTTGGGGAGGGTTATTTATGTAGTGCATAAGAACTAATGCATACTGTGAATTTTTGGTATGATAAAAACAGATTTAAAAAAATGAATTTAGTCTTGCTGGAGATCACATGCACTACACACATAAATATGAGAATTCACTCAAATGTTTCGTCCGAGGTTTTCTTCTATACCTTTTCATATTTTAGAGCCCTTTTTTACAGGACTTTTCTACGATGTTATTCTTCTGATTGACATACAAATACCAGGAAAGCAGAACAAAATATTTGTAATCTTTACCAAAACTCAACCTTCTCTTTGTACTATTGGTATACAGTAAAGCCTGAATTTCAATCTTTCAGTAATCAGTATTCATGTCATGACTTGTGATAAACTGCAGATGCTTTTGAGTTGAATTATTTTCTCGGTTTTCTCCCCTCTTTTTGTACTCTGTATCCAGGAAATGAACTGATCTTTGAGCAAGATGGAATCTGTGATTATTCACTGCATGCTAACATTGTAGAAGAGAAAGAAGAATGCATTCTTCTATGACACTTAAGAGAGTGACAGAAAGAGAGAGAGAGAGAGAATGAGAGAGAGAGAAAGAGAGTTGAGAGAAGCATGCCAGATTGAGAAGGAGGCTTTTTTAAATTCACTTAAGGATGCTTCGAGAAAAACAGAGAGGAAGACGGACAGTCAGACAATATGCTTCCACGTTCTTTAACCCCCCGCATGGAGATAAACACATTCACGACTTGAAAAGCAAGAATGGGACACCGATTGACATGACAGAACTGTATGAAATTAGTATTTATGCTACAAAAAGTCTTTGTCGGAAGAATTATTACAGTAGTCTCAGGAACCCTACGTCTGTGAGTATAACATTGAGAAAAGCCCATTGAGGATGCCTCGCTTTGGATCTAGGATGATTAGGCACTAGGGACGATTGGACCTGGCGAAATATCAAGGCCGAGCTATCCAGGAGATCATGAATCGATTGCAAATACTTGCACACATTTTCCATTAAGTACCTATTTTTAAACACCAATTTTTTTGTATACGAATGTGAAAATTTGTCTCTGATGAAGTGCTTTGAAAATTTAAAGATGCGAAAATATAGTCAAACCTGTCTACAGCGACCGCCCAAGGGAGACACGAAAAGTGGTCTTTGAAAACAGATGGTCTTTGTAGACAGGTTCCTTAAGTACATGTTTCAATGAGAAAGCATTTTCAAGGGAAACAGAAAATGTGCTTGTTGTAGACAGATGGTCTTTGTAGACAGGTGGCTACTAAAGCAGGTTTGACTATACAAAACACTGAAGTAAGGTCTGTTTAGATATGTCAGTCTGTAGCCAGCACTTGTACTCTGGAAACCGAATCGCTCTGCAATGTCGGTCTCACCCTATTGCCAAGTTATCTTGAGACTCCTCCATCTTTTTATATGCATTATGTACAAAAGAAGGTTCATGTCAAATCTATGTCTATGTAGTATTATAACATACCGGTAGTTCTAGAAGTGTGGTGAAAAAAAAGCATACCTTACTTCTGTCATATGTGAACAAAATAGTTACCGTTATGTGCACTATAACATCAGCAAATGAGATGATGTTTCAAACTTGGCAAATCTAAAAGGAGCTAAGCTGGCTCAAAATCCAGGTAATTAAGAATGCTTTTTTGTTGGACCAACGAAATGTAAGAAACGGACAAAAACTTATGGAAGTAGCATGCATTGAGACCAAGTGGTTCTACATTTTAAATAACTTGAATGTTTGACATTGGTCTCGAAGATTGGCATAATTTTGAAATCTTGTATTGATTATTTTCCAGTTTAAAGCTGAATGTTTTCATTTCTCTGACATGAGAATTTGAGCTTGTTTTTGTTTTGTATCTTAAATTAAAATGTCATTCTTAAAATAAATGTTGCAGACAATCATGATTAGCTAATCGTTTCTGAAGCTGTGATATGGTTTATGATGTATCTACGAAACGAATGCCGGATGAAATGCATTTAGTTTTAAATGGCACTACACTGTTAAGCTGCAGCACTTATACTGTGATGTCATTCAATGCAAATGGCAGTCGCCCCCATGACTGCGATTCTTGGCATTTTTACCAGGAATTTTACTTATATCTCAACTCAAATTCATATTGAAGACCCTTATTTAGAAAAAAAAATAAGTTGTGTTTTGAAGCTCATCCATTAGTGATGTGCACTGCACTCAGTTAAGTCACAATGAGCTGGATTATGAACTTGACGAGTCTCGTTCATTATCTGATTGTGACTGACCCTTTATACTGCCCTGTAAGGTCACTGGACAGGTGGTTATCTCATCAACTCAGCTCTCAGTTAACATAAGAAAAAGAGGATCATGGGGGACCAAGGTCACCGATTAGGCATCGTTTGTTATATAGAGGGCCCAAGTAGCTACAAGTAATGCAGTTGGCCTTTAAGCCAGTGAAGTGTCATCCATCTATTGGCCTTACATTTGATTTACATGTACATGTTCATAGTCAATACCATAGGCAGACCAATATATGGACTTTAATAGTACATTTGTGCTTGTGAAGAACTTGAGAATTATTGTAGGATTATTTTTCATGAACATGTAGATGTAGATATTAAAAAGAAGTTGTATGAATTGCTACATGTATGTAACAAAGGTAGATAATGTAGTTTCATATTGACATAGACTGTTCTTTCTTTATAAACATGTAAGGTAGTTGATATTTCGTAGTTACCAGTATATGCCCCGCAATATAAATGTTTACAATTTTGGCACGTGTATTCTCCTGTACGGGCCCCCCCCCCCCCCAAAGTTTCAGTCATTGATTAATGGTTGCAAACTATTGTATTCTACTTCTATATTAGTACAATGTGATGGATAACGGAATTTTATAAAAGATTCCGTGCAATGTGTCCCACACAACAAATTTCTTTTTTTTTACCCCGCATATTTCATTAAAAAAATAAGATTCTCTTGAAATGACCATTGAATAATTGTGCTTTCTGGTATTACTACCAATAATAATAATTAATAATTATAGTGTTTATATAGTGCCTAACACTTACTTTGTCACATGGATTATATGTGAATGAACATCACATTTAATTCAGGACACATCTCACGGAATTGCCAAAATGGCCAGTTTGATTGGGCGAGATCAACAGGCCGCATTACGCTCACAATGAACATGACGGACAAAGAAAGAGGACAAAATATACAGTTCCTCATTCTACCCTCAACAATTGCTGTGGTAGACAAAGGAACATCCCTTCACTGCTATTATGTAAAAAAATTGTGTAGAACAGGTGTCACATGCATATTCACCTGTTCTACACATTTTTACATAATAGCATTGAAGGGATGTTCCTTTGTATAATGACGAACTGTATATTCTGTCCTCTTTCTTTGTCTGTCATGTTCATAGTGGCTATATGTGTACACATTTCATTTCATTATGCACTGTGTTGTAGAGCATACCAGAAACATGTTTCATTCGCATGAATTGTTTCAAGCGTTTATATACAAGGTACATTGTCTAATGTCTATGCTTCTTTTGTAAAGGGTTTAAACAAAAAATGATTGCTTATAACTTCCGCAGTTCAATATTGTGCTTAAAAAAATGGGCGTTTCCAAAACATTTGTTGTTGTTGGTGCCTTGCCACCTATCTTTTCATGCATTTGTCATGTAGCTAGTTTCCATCTTGTACATGAATTTTTGTATTTCCAACAAAATGAGAATTTGTTGATATGTGTATATCATGAGTGGTATGTACAAACTAAAACCCAGCTCCTCAAAATATGATTTGTCCTTCCCCCATATAATTGTTTTGTAAATCAGTTGCAATTTCAATTCCTATCATACGGAGGCAGCAATTTATTTGAAGGGTAGATCCCAATGATATAACAAATATGTCTGTCATGTTTTTTAACCATATTGAAGTTAACTGATATTAAATTGTTCACCAGTTGTGACCTTATAACAGCTGATATCTGTTCCAACTCGCATTGTACATGTTTATACAGTATATACAGTATCCATACATGTACATGTTATAGTGTGAATGCACTGATCTTATGTACGGTCGGCCAAGACTCTCAAAGACGTGGACTGATATCTTTTAATCTAACGGTTGGGCCCATATTCTACTCAAATTCAAACCCATCTCAATCTTGGCTTATGCTTTTGTTCAAAATCAGGTTTAACAAAGGAAGTTATTCTGAAGTCTAATTCCCCCCTTTTTTTAAACGTGTTCTTAGAGGGAAACCAGTCTGAGATCCGAGGTTGGGTTTGACTGAATTGATACAATAAAGGAGTTTAAGGACCAAAGGTATGTATTCTCCTATTTTATTTAAACCTGATGCTAGGTCTAAAATCATGTTATAAGTCAAGATGGAAATCATAGACCTGAGACCAACCTTATTTGTTGAACCTGATTTTGAACGAAAGCTTTAAGCCAAGGGTGAGGTTTCAATTTTAGTAGAATATGAGCCTTAGAGTTCCAACTTAGATAAATGATGTGTTCTTGTAATTTATTAGACCGTGTGTAGAAGTAGTACATATCCGTCTGCTGAAAGTCGTAAAAATATTAACAAATATCCTTTGACATAGACTTAGTATCAATCGTGATTACAGTCATAGTATATTGAGAGAGTTGTGACATATGCGCACACTTACGCACTCAAGGTCAATTCATGGAGTTCCAAATAGTGCCTCGCCACAAACAATCTCTGTGGGAGGGAACTAGAATTGAACCTCGAGTGCGTACACGTGTGTGTGTGTGTCACAACTATCTGTCTCAATGCACTATGGTTATAGTAAAATGGTTTCTGAGCATTTACACTCCACATGCTAAAATGCATGCTTCTGTATCTTTGATACTTTGTTCTTATTAATACATGTATCACATATATTACAACTTATCAACGTTCTGACATAACAGGAAAGTAGCAATTGCATGATGCTTGTAATTGTAATGCTCTTCTTGCTCAAATGCAATGTTTTGAATTTTTTTTTTTTTATTTTAATATTGATATTACCACTCTGCTGTCTTTCCAACAACGATACATTGTTCTGTTAATCATGCCAAGACCTGCACAGAATTAACTTGCCTTCTTGGTCTTTTACTCATGAGTTTTTCAACATGATGTTAGGGGGATACAGACCAAACTTAAGATTTTGATTCAAATTATAAGTTAGTTTCCAGTATTTTTAGGTAAAGTTGGATGTGAATTGCAATTTTCAATTCTTTTAGTATACTCTGCATATGGCATTACCCGCCCATTGCGCCCAAAGCCATTTTTGTAATTTCTAGTAAGGTTTTGAGGGTGAGATCTAATCGGCCTCTTTCATTCTACATGTAGGGTTTTTTTTTCTTTCTTTTTTGACCTGCTGCAAATATTTGCTATACATTTTTGTCATGTTTTCATTAACGATAGTGAATGGCTTTCCCTTGGAAGGCTCAGCTCGTTGTTTCCAGAAGTTTTGAAGTTATTGTTCTTGTGGAATAAAGGATGTACATTTTGACTTTTGACAAATATTACAAAATACACTGAAGCAACATTGGTCCACCATTTTCTTATGTGTGTATTTTCTTCTTTTATGATGGAGTTCAGATTGTTTGTCTACTGGAATTCATTCAGGCACTTACTTTAGTCCATCTGTGGTATCATTCTTCCAAATTGTTTTCTTGAATTTCTTTCATTTACCCCCCCCCCCCCCCCCTTCTCTCTCTCTCTCTCTCTCTCTCTCTCTTCCTCCCCTCCTTCTTTCTCTTTCTCCCTTCCCTCTCTCTCTCTTCCTTCCCCCTCTCTCTCTCTCCCCCTCTCTCTCTCTCCCTCCCCCTCTCTCTTCCTCCCCTCCTTCTTTCTCTTTCTCCCTTTCCTCTCTCTCTCTTCCTTCCCCCTCTCTCTCTTCCTCCCCCTCTCTCTCTCTTCCACCCCCTCTGTCTCTATCTTTCTCTTTCTCCCTTCCCTCTCTCTCTTCCTTCCCCCTCTCTCTCTCTTCCCCCCTCTCTCTCTCCCTCCCCTCTCTCTTCCTCCCCTCCTTCTTTCTCTTTCTCCCTTCCCTCTCTCTCTCTTCCTTCCCCCTCTCTCTCTTCCTCCCCCTCTCTCTTCCTCCCCCTCTCTCTCTCTTCCACCCCATCTGTCTCTATCTTTCTCTTTGTCCCTTCCCTCTCTCTCTTCCTCCCCCTCTCTCTCATGTGATTGATTTGGGATGGTTGTTTGATTGGTTTGACTGAATTTGTGATAGTATATTGGCAAAATGAAAAGCAGGTTGATTGGGTGGGGGGTTGATTAGTTTGTTGATGTATTGATTTACAATGTGATTGATTGACTGGTATATCGAGTTGTCAGTGTATTTATTACTTGATTGTTTGATGAATTGATTGACTGACTGGTTGGTCAATCAATTGATTGGTTGTTTGTGTAACTGGTTGATTGATAAATTGATTGACTGACTGGTTGGTCAATCAATTGATTGGTTGTTTGTGTAACTGGTTGATTGATGAATTGATTGACTGACTGGTTGGTCAATCAATTGATTGGTTGTTTGTGTAACTGGTTGATTGATGAATTGATTGACTGACTGGTTGGTCAATCAATTGATTGGTTGTTTGTGTAACTGGTTGATTGATGAATTGATTGACTGACTGGTTGGTCAATCAATTGATTGGTTGTTTGTGTAACTGGTTGATTGATATTGATTGACTGACTGGTTGGTCAATCAATTGATTGGTTGTTTGTGTAACTGGTTGATTGATGAATTGATTGACTGACTGGTTGGTCAATCAATTGATTGGTTGTTTGTGTAACTGGTTGATTGATAAATTGATTGACTGATTGGTTGGTCAATCAATTGATTAATTGATTGGTTGTTTGTGTAACTGGTTGATTGATAAATTGATTGACTGATTGGTTGGTCAATCAATTGATTGGTTGTTTGTGTAACTGGTTGATTGATGAATTGATTGACTGACTGGTTGGTCAATCAATTGATTGGTTGTTTGTGTAACTGGTTGATTGATGAATTGATTGACTGACTGGTTGGTCAATCAATTGATTGGTTGTTTGTGTAACTGGTTGATTGATGAATTGATTGACTGACTGGTTGGTCAATCGATTGATTGGTTGTTTGTGTAACTGGTTGATTGATTAATTGATTGACTGATTGGTTGGTCAATCAATTGATTGGTTGTTTGTGTAACTGGTTGATTGATGAATTGATTGACTGACTGGTTGGTTGATCTCTTGATATGTTTTTTTTTTTTGAAGTTATTTTATTGTTCATTCAATTGCACTAGAATAAAAAAAAAAAAATGATAACATACATATAATTTGTCATATTATTCCAATATATCGGAGTTACATTACTTTAACATTAATGAAATATATATTAAAAATCGAAACTTTCCTTTTTTACATCTCAAAATATTACAAATGCATAACAAAGAATATATACGTTTAGTTGCTAAATATCACAGAGACATACAGTTGTAAGTTATTACTCATTATAACAATAAATATGTTGTGATCTGAATGAATTATATTTTCAAAAATTAAAGAGCCTCACGAAAATACAGACAGACAGACACACGCTCACATTCGCGCACACACTCACACACACATATACAATCTTTAATACCTATCACCCTCACCCCCCCCCCCCCCTCCATACCCAAACTCCACAAATCCCCCCCCCCCCTCCCCCTCCATACCCGAACACAGCCACATCTAAACAGTCGTTGAAAATCCAGTCTCTTAATTCCCTGTCCATACTGACCAAATTATATTAAAATGTTTGAGTCCGAGATAGAAGTAATTTGCCCAACTATATATGGAAGTCCCATTTTCTGAAGTGAAGTGCATAATTAAAGTGCGCCCTGCCCAGCTAATTCTTTTTTTTTTCTTGTCTATTTTCTAAAATTCTTTTTTTAATTTCTTGAGGAATTGGGGTCTATTTTTAGTTGAACTACTTAAAAATCATATGTTTGGTTAAAAGAATAATGTGATTTAACAGTTGTTCTTCTCCCGCATTGGATCTTATCCCCATTTGTCATGAATTCCTTTCCAGTGGCAGTGTATATTTTTAACGCTGATAAAGCAAAACGGTCATCGCAGTCCTTCCAAATACTTGTTACTTTCTCAGGTAAAAAAAACAGATGTTCATAAGACTATTCGTGTTTATTGCAAAAGGAGCAAAAATTGCTCACTGCATATTTAAAAGTGTATACAGATGCTTATTTGGATGTTCATACAAATTATATTCAAAAGAGTTTTCTATGAAAATGAAATGCCTTCATACTGTTTTATCAAATATATTTCAATGTTGTTTAAACCCATTTTCTGAAATTCTGTGATGGATTAATATTTGAAGATAGTGTAATGTTTTGTGAGATAATCTCAACTTTAAATTTCGAGATTTTATGAGCGAGCTTTAGGCCATCATTGTCGGTAGCCTAATTGAAGTCTCAATTACAAAAACAAACAGAAAATGTTGTTTTTTTAAATAGATTGTACATTTTAGGGGGGGATATAGTAAAGAAAAATAATGTATGCACAATTTAAAACCCTAGTTTTATGAGTTAACTAAATTACATTTCATGACATATTTTCCGGTGGCGGGCAAAGGGGCAAAATAAATTAACGTGCGATTTGAACAGTGGGCTTTAAAAAAAAATTGTACTATATCCCCCAGAAAATTTAATCACCTTTTTCGATATTTCAATATATTGTAAATAATCCCGCCTGGCAGATTTAACTATTTTTCAACTTAATTGTCCCGTTTAGTAAAGTTTGTTGTTGTTTGTAATGTTGCTAGCAAACTGGGCATGGATGGTTTTAACTTGAATTCCGGCCTGTAGGTGGTGGATTTATTTTGACGTGTTCTGAAAAGACCCGAGCTAATTTGATGTTATTTTTGATGATGACTGGTCCGTAGATGATTTGATCCAATACATCGATTGATTGATCATCGATTTTTATTCGTGAATCTTCCAACATACAACAATATACAAGAATAACAAATCAAAATTAAGTCAGCTTGAACAGGATACCATGAAAGCTCGAGAGCTTATTTCCAGCTATATAGTGGGGTCCCCATCATATAACAACCATTATGTTAATCAATCGTTATGCACAAAACTGAGAAGTCGAATCGCAGTGGAAGTTCGTAAAGTGGGTATTTAGTTGCCATAGAAAAATAAATATTGCCCTATTCATCTGCCAATTATTTGTTTGTAATTCGAATGGCCAAAAATGCATGACATTTTGAGTTTGAAGTGGTGTTCGAAAAAAACTGCTTCCTCGGTAATTAATCTCCGCTGTAGAATTTTGTAAAGCTTATTTGCCTTTATTAAGATTTTCATAATTATACAAATTGATAAATAGGAGCATAGTTGTTCTTACAATATAAACATAGTACATTGTCTAATTCACATACATTATAAACACAGAAATATTTATAAATATATTTTCAATATGCATTACAATTCTGCAATTGGGAGAAAAAAAATTAGATTTTTCAATATAAAAGAGGAAAAGGTGACGGTAATACTTCATATTAATATATTCTGATACCACATTGTAAAAAGAAGAAACAATTTTTACAGTATGTTTAAAACACATCTTCTTTGCAAATTAATTAGTTCAATATAGCAATCTAGCTATAAAGATTGTATTATACAACTGGTAAGGCGCAGCTGAGGTTTACGCCATCTCTCGGCTACACAAAACCAATCGTACTTAACGTCAGCTTTTCAGTCTTTTTTAAAGCACGAATGGTAACCAAAACATGCCTGTGATGGACCAAAAACGAAAAGCAGAAGAAGGTGCCTTAGTTGCAGTAAAAAGACCAAAGCATCATGAACTGGTGGCTGTAAGCAATCAACAAAAGGCCTTGATGCAATCGGTAAGAAGAGCTTCGAATATCACTTTTCTGTTCATCTCTTGTTCCGAGGACTTTGTAATCCATGTAGATCAATGGTTACACAATGGGAGGGCATTTTCGGTCAGTTTGTGAAACCGACAGCACATCGCCGGCCGCCTTGTCTTTCGAAATTTGAGGACCTAACAATATAACATGCTATTATTGGCTAGACTATACCTTGAAATAAAAAATATTGACTCAGTGTGCGTACAAAATGCATCCCCCAAAACAAGGATCATCTGCATTTTCGCGGACGTTTTTTTTTCATCGGCGTTCTTTGTGTTATCGGGTTACCGAACCGCCCACTCACTGGCGATGCCAAAAATGGATTCCCCTTGGGAAAATAATCCTAGAGAGGTAGAGGGTAGTACTTGTTTGGATTGTCCGTCTTCCCAATTAAAGATTTAGGCCTAGGTCTAGATCTATGTACATGTACATGTAGTCTAGATCTAAAAGTTAGATCTAATGGCTCATAATGTGAAGGTCTCTGTACAAAGTCAATGTAAAATGCATCAAGAAAATCATTGTGGAATCTGTGTTTTGCAACGCCAATGCTCCAAATGCAGACGATCCTTATTTTTGAGGACGTATCGGTCCTTGTTTACAAAGACGATCCTTATTCTCAGACCAGCGCCCCTACTGATGTATGATGGGGGCGCTAGCCTACGTGGTGTACTTCCGTATCCATTTTTTTAGCAGTTTCATATCCATTCTTAGCAATGGAATGTTAGCCCAATTTTTTTACTTATTTTAATCATAATCATATATCGCATTTTCCACCTGAATTTGGATCACATCCGACATCAGGAAGCCTCTGTTAGGGCTACGATGTCCACGTCGTCGCTCAGTACCGTAAATACGCTATAGTTCTGCACTTCAAACTGAAGCTATCAGTAAAAAAATTATGCAAACTTCTCGTATGGTTTATGGTATTACGCGCATGCACGACACCATAAACCATATGAGAAATTTGCATTATTTTTGACGAAAAATAAGATTAAATTCTTGTTTCTCTCCTAGGGCCCACCTCGTCTCTCGAGCATGACTGCAGCTATCATGTTATTGACTGGCCACGAGGGGGAGATCTTCAGTGCCAGATTCCATCCCAACGGACAGTCCTTGGCATCAGCTTCCTTTGACAGATCCATCCGTACGTAAATATGCAGCTTACCAGGGGGGTGTTTCATAAAGCTGTTCGTAAAGTTAGGCATGACTTAACAAACGACTTGAATATGAAGTGCCAGATAGGATACCCAACATTTTTCCTGATGTTTTATCAAGTGTGATTATATTTCTAATAACCTCAATTAAATTATGGCAAAAAATATACTCTGCATTACAAATGTTTGCTATAATAAGAATGTTAATCTACACATGCTCAGTTCAACTTTAGTTGATGCAGTTAAAAAAGATTGAGCATCCCATTTGGCTTTTCATATTTAAGTCATTCGTTAAGTCATGCAGAACTTTACCAACAGCTTTATGAAACACCCCCCAGAAATCTCTTCTCTGATATGTCCTACTTGACCAAGAGTAGTGTTTATAAGAGCTGTTCGCATAGTCTATCAATGGTTTGTGAAAACTATAAAATCCAAAGAAAAGTTGGGCTTGAAGGCTCAAAAGCATGCATCAGTTAGCGCCATACCTTCCCTGCATTGACCTATTATATTACTATCTGCATCAAATGAGTCTCTTGAGACGGACTACCCCTAAGAATGGTATTTTCTGAGTTTGAATCAACCCAAGGCAACTGCCGACCAGGCATTTTGCCTTCTAGTGCCCCGCCAATTGTCTGCAAATGCCCCTGTTGCAAGGTAATGAGTGATACTGAATTACTGATGAATTAATTCTTTATCCTTGCACGTAATGCTAGCTAAAGATGTGACCGTCCAGAAGCCTTGCAAATGCGATCACAAGTCATAAAATGTACATCAACCTACATATTAAGCCACATACATTGTATTTCAGTGATGAGGTGGTGGTCTACAAAACCTTCTTGAGTGTTGCATCTTAAATAATTTCAGCAAACAATTAACAACAGTACATGCATGTATCTACAGTTGTTAATGTTTTTTGTGTGAATTTCTGTTTGATTCTTTAGCCAGCTTCTAGTGTTAGGTTTATGTATAGTTGCATACCCCTATCGCCAGGGACTACTAGTACACTGATCCTTTTTTTTTTTTTACATGTGGAGTTCTTTAAAATCTTCTTATTACTTTTATCTTTTGTTTAGTGTTATGGAATGTGTATGGAGAGTGTGAGAACTATGGAGTACTGAAGGGCCACCAAGGGGCTGTCATGGAGCTGCACTACAACACTGATGGCAGGTAAGCTACGTCACGTATAGATAGAGAACTGTCTGGGAAGGAAACAGTGTGAAAAAACAGTGATTACTACTTGTTTTCTTCCAATGGCTTGTCCACACATGATGAGTAGTAGATGAATGGCATGTGGAGATGAAGAAGAAATAAAAGGGTAGCTGCATACAACAGAAGTCCTATGCAGACTACTGCAGGTGCAGGAACTCCTTTAAAGTGAGTCGGTAACATTGTCTCAGATTTCTGAAACAAAATCCTGGATTTAGCTCAGGCTGCAATGTTAATTATAAACCTTTAGGCCAGTCAGGAACCCCATGACTTTTACAAGCCGATTGCCTGTCTGATTATCAGATATTTGTTATTGGTAATCGAAATCAATTTTTTTTTTCCTGTTTTACTAACGGTTTTCATATCACTACAGTCTATTGGGGACAATGAGTATGGTAAAACCGGTCACTCAAAGATTTAAAAACTTTTTTGAGGCACGTCTGCCGTCATGATCATTGTGAAGCGCAATTTTGTTTAGGGCTTCAATATTACACCATTCTCACAGACACTGCTAACACATACATGTATCTTCTTGTCTGTATCATTTTACAGTCAAATTGTGTCTTGTGCCACGGATAAGATGGTATGTCTGTGGGACACAGAGACGGGGGCAAGGGTCAAGAGAATGAGAGGTCACACGTCGTTTGTCAACTCGTGCTACTACGCCAGGAGAGGGCCTTCATTGGTCACCAGTGGCAGTGATGACGGTACCATCAAAGTAAGTTTTTTTTCTCTCTTATCCTCAAGTGAGATTTCCATAATTTCAAAACATATTTACATTAATAACTCAAATGATTGAGTGAAACATAGCAGAGGTTGAAAATTAAAGTATATTCAAAAGGTTTCAATGAATTAGCTTAGCATCCTTAAATTGACACCACTTATTCTTATCTTTCTCTCTTGTTTATTTTAAAAGAACCAATTCAATTTCAAAATACAACAGCAACAAAACTTGATAATTTGTATATACAAAAATATGTGAATAATGGTTAGGAGCCAGAGCATATAACACTGAGTTCCCATAGGACATATATTTATTCAGATGATCATATCTCAGCCAATACTTAACATATTCAATTGGTTTTCAACATTTGGACATTATTTTTTATGCTCTTTCGGAAAATGAAGAAAAAATTGAGAAATTCTAAAAATAAATTTTTGATGATGTCACACTTCACCACTCTATGAAGATGTGAGCAATTATCAGATAACCAATTTTGTACATCTACCTTGATTCTTTCGCTTCTGTAGATTTGGGATACAAGAAAACGAGGCTGTGCACAGACGTTCCAAAGCACCTACCAGGTCTTAGCAGTTTCCTTCAACGATACCAGTGACCAGATCATCTCTGGTGGTATCGACAACGATATGAAGGTCAGTCGATCAGGATTCTGACCTTTCCTGGAAATTTTGGAAAACAGGCAAAATGAGTTTCCCCTTTTTTCAGTCAGGGAAAAATCAGGAAATGAGAGAAAAGTCGCTGAAATCAGAGAAATTTATTGGCCCTATCAAAAGTAGTTGGTTTCTTAATAATAAGTGTTTCCACTGGATGATTAGCGATGAAGTAGGTTTCAATGAGGGTCTTGCTATTTTGAAAGTCCATCAGGGGAAGAAAAAAAATCATCATGATAAAATGAAGTTTTTTCTTTCATGAAATGCCTGGAACCCTCTTGAATCAAAAAGGTTCAATCAGCCAAAGAGATGCTAAGATATGCTGAACTCAGGAATGCCAGTTTTCATGCAATAGCCTGAATTCAGGCCCTTGCAAGTTATTTTCAGACCATAGTTTAGGCTTTTTTGTCTACAAAATAGCTCATTCTAGGTGATTTTCAGGCCCTCTGATCAATTCTAACTGGCATCCCTGTGAACTGACTATTCTCTGAACTTCACTTGGAGCTCGAGTCTTACATGTATCCTGTGCACACCCCCTCCCTCTCTCTCTCTCCTTATCTTAAGAAATATAATATGCAGAAAATAATTTGCAATCTAAACAAAACATTACCCTGGTTGTTATCCCATACAGGTATGGGATCTGAGGAAGAACGGATTGCTGTACAAGATGTCTGGTCACAGCGACTCGGTGACCGGTATAGAACTAAGTCCAGACGGATCCTACATTGTGTCAAACTCTATGGATAATACTTGTGAGTATTTATAACTTTAAGATAGTCTATCAGACATGCCAACCAGTACGATTAAATCGCATTTAGTATGATAATAAGAGTGAAATACGATAATACGATATCACCTCTTAAAATATAATTTTTCATCTTTGAAAAAAAAAAAAAAAAAAAAAATATGTAAACCCATAAAAACAGCAGAATCGCCCATAAAAAAAGCAGAATCGCATAGAAACATGTACATGTCAGATTTTGTTAAAGCCAGATTGAGTCCATTCACTCATGTTGATGACTCCAAACCTCAGATTATACAATCATTCCTGTGACTTGTATCAGAATAACCGCTACACATTTTCCCACAATGAAATGGGACAACGAGACTCAACTATCTTTAAATGTAAAAGAAATCATCTCCTTTTTTGGTCTTACTGATTCCTTTAGTGCGAATTTGGGATGTACGACCTTTTGCTTCACCAGAACGATGTGTTAAAATTTTCCAAGGACACCAGCACAACTTTGAAAAGGTGAGCGAATTTAAAATGATTGAGTTAATTACTTTATCATTCTGGTTACATAGGAGTTTTTCCCATTGTATATGTTGTGGTTGTAATGTTAAAGATTAACTTTAGTACTGGTAATGCGATTGCATTGTGAAAGAAAAGGTGTGGAAAGGATCAGAAACAGTTGATCATGTAGCATGTAAGTATTGGTGAGCACTGCAAGGTTCTGGAGTCATCAAAATCATAATAAATTTGACCGAGTCTTGGTAAAGTAACAAGCACTCACATAGAAAGCTATATATGGGACAACACACATGGTGTCGGGGCTAGTACTACCTTGATTTCCTTGTATTTCTATGCTTATTACTCAGCCAGTATACATTTTCTTCCAAAATTGTTTGGCACATGTCATTTATTTGTAATCTTGAACATTCAGTGTAAGTTTCGTTTGATTCTGTGAGAATTATCTTCTTTTTTTTTTACCAGTACTGGAGTTTATCTTTAATTACAATTGAGTGTATCTGCCACTAAAAACATCATACACATATATTCATCAATTGAACATGCAAGGGATGCTACCTCTTTCGATTTATTGTATGACTCGCACCCTAGTGCTTCATGGGGGATACCATGCACTAGTCACATTCTTACAATCCAGCACAACTGAACCCTAACGCCATACCGGAACCAAAACCCAGTCCTGACTCAAGCTCTAACCCTCTGTTGTTGTTGTTTTAGTTTTTATGGCGTGTATCAATCAGATATGATTATTTATGTCTGGGGACCGACCTTTAACATCACCATCCGAAAGACGTGACTCGGTTTCAAACCTGTGTCCTCGGCTGAATCAGTTTGTAAGTTCCACTTTTTAGCTGGATTACAGGCGCACGCCTGCACAACGCCTAGTTGTAACATAGCCTGTACCATAGGCTGCATGATAAAATGGCAGATCACAGGAGAATGTACTTGTGACATACATCTATCTTTCACTATGAATCACAAGACCTTGCCCTGGTGCATACAAGGACATCAGTGCTGTGGCAGGGAATGGAACCATGTACTTTGTGATCCATAGTCTGGAGACACATCCACTAGACCATGACTCACACCTCTAAACCATCAGGGGCCCATTTCATAAAACCTTTTATCTATAACAAATGCTAAATTTCTATGACAAATTTGCTCTCAGCCAATCAGATGCCATGATTTCAGTAGCTTATAACAGTATCTTGTAACTTGTTATTGATATCGAGTTTGATGAAACCGGGACCTGTATTTTTTATTGACTGTAGAATCTATTGAGGTGCTCATGGTCACCCGATGGTAGCAAGGTCGCTGCGGGGTCAGCCGATCGGCATGTCTATGTCTGGGATACGACCTCTAGAAGGATCCTCTACAAGCTACCCGGCCATGTCGGCTCCGTCAATCAGGTCGACTTCCATCCTCATGAACCAATCAGTAAGTTGATTTATATCATTTCTAAATTAAAACCACACCCACATGGCCGATGCTAAACAGTGCAAGCTATTTTGTCCACGTTTCCGATCAGTGTATCTAATGACTATATGAAGATGATAGCCTTACGAGTGCCCAGATCAGAGCCAGATATCCAGTCAATTGATACTTTTGATGTCCTTGTATAAATGTTCCTAATTCCATGATAATACTTCATAACATATGCCACACCAAATAATGTTGACTTCCCATTTACACTGAAAGAGCTACGAAATCTTATTTTATCAATTGAATCTTTTTTTTCGCATCGTGGAAGAGCGTTCAGAGAGGAAACAAATAAAGTGTCATAATAAAGTGCTATTGAATACAATTTATTTTAATTGGCATAAATGTTGATTTGAATGTAGAAAATGTCTTTGGATGGTAATTTGAAACCTAATTTATCATATCATTGGTAATCATCATAACAGATAGCTTTGGAAATGCAATTTGTATTGATGTGATTGCAAAGGTCCCCATGAATTCTCCACATCCATCAACCAGTAATAAGTCATAAGCAAAGACTCAACGTAATTCAGATTAGTCATGACAATAGAAGGTGCTCCAACGTTTGCTCAGCAACAATTTTTGGGCTTGATTTTTTTTCAAAGATAAAGGGTTAGGGGGTAAAAATGCTTTTGGCATTTGGTTCATGGGAGTGTTTCACAAAGATCCCAAGTTGGACTCAACTCTAAGTTGGACTTAAAAACTATGGAGAGCCATTTGTAGCCTTAAAATAAAATATATTCAAAAGCGAAAATTCAAGTATTCTTGGGTTTTTATAAATTCCACATCAATGACATGAAATCTCCTTGATAAGGCCTAAAAAAAAAAATAGATGACTTGGCGTAACCCGCCCGACCCTATTTTTATCGCCGACCCTACGCTTTTTTATTTTTTTTTATCCGATTGCGATTGCGTAAATATTGATATCGCAGTGGGGAAAACCCGGATGTTTGTTGCTTTCGTTCTGGGCTTTGCCGCGCCGTGTTTGGGCCAGCTCGCGCGCCGAGTGCAGCGGGCAAGTACGCCATAGTACCGCTAGGCGATTAATTGTATCCCCAACATGGCGTCCTATGGCGTTCAGTTCACGGGTAAATTTGGTGCTCACGTTTTATTCAGCACAGTGTGTGTGTGCGTGGAGTTATTTGAACATATTGTGGTCTACCCCTCTCATCAGATCATCCCCAAGGTCTGAGGACCTATCTACGCCACTGTATGAATGGCTAATTTCATGTATGCAAATATAAGCAACAACAACACCAAAAAAAAAAAAAAAAAAAAAAAAAAAAAAAAAAAAATCGCCCTACCTACCCTAATTTTCAGTGATCCGTTACGCCAAGTCATCAATTTTTTTTTTTAGGCCTAAAAGAAAATATGAATGATTTGAATCGACATTTTATGCCTTTTAAAATAACTTTTACAAATATTTTCATAGATGCCAACAGCTTTCCATAACTGTTAAGTCCAACTTAGAGATAAGTTCAACTGAGGATCTTTGTGAAACACCCCCTGGTGCCATAACTGTATTCTTTAATTTTCTTATGTAGAAGTATTGATGCAAAATTTTTTGTTATTTATATCTGTTTTTTACAGTCCTCTCCTGTTCAAGTGACAAGCAAATCTACTTGGGAGAGATCTTGTGAGGATATTAGCCAATCGGAACTCTTGATACAAAATCTACTGCATTGATGGAAGCATGTGATCATTGAAGAAGAGCATTGATTGGATGGTCCTGTTTTCTCATCTCGCCTTGCTGCCTATCTTTCAAGCTCAGAACATTACCCACAGGAGAGATCATCTTGTTTCCGGATGACGACAGTTCTTGTGAAAGAGAGGATGAATTTTGTCAGAGAAGCAATCAATCATGCAAAGAATCTACTCCCTTTATCCTATTTTATGAATGACATGGGACGTTTTATTCAAATGTACTTTATGAGTTGATAAGATGTAATAAATGTTATCTATTAATAAGGAGGAATGATGTTTATTGTACTAGAGGGTGTTGAGTTTATGTCCTATATATGGTCTATCTGTGATTATGATATTAGTGATGGAATAAGAAAAATCAGAATAAACAGGAGAAAAAATAGGAATTGGGAAGAATTTGGGAAGAAATGACAAGTTAAGCCTTTTCCTTTCGCTTATAGAATGTTTGTTCCCCAAAAAGCTATGAGATATTGGCTACTTTTTGCAAAGCATAAGATGTACCTATTTTTCTAGAGACCATCTTACAAATAATGATGTTTCGCCAATGATTGATATTGATAGCATTGCTAGCGTTTAGACATTTCCAAAATTCAAGAATTCTGTTCTATATTGAACATGAATTTAAAAAAAAAAAAGTTGCCCTGTGGTCAAATTAAAACAAGACGTGCTTTATTACTTTGGTAAAATTGCTTTGTATAGCAATTTGCCAGATGAATTGCCAATCTATGTTTTATTTTTTTTTGTCTAAAATTTTTTTAAACCTGGATCTCATGAGAAAATACCATTTTATTAGGCTTGTAGGTGGAGCAGAATTACTGAAGTTGGGAAATAGCTTTTTAGCACTGCAGACGGATGGCCATTGTTATTGCTCAGTTGTACATATTGTAAATATTTCTTGAATATTTGTAATAAAAACATAAAGAAATGTAATACTGTTTCAGAATTCCTTTATTGCATTCCGCAGAAGAAGCTACAGGTCTAGTCATACCTCACATATAACATTATGTTAATTGTCACAATGAATGCTCAACAAAGATTTTATTGTCTTGTTCGAAATGCTCGGTCATCAATTCTTTCTTAAAAATGGGGTGAAGTCCAAATACAAGTTGATTCCTGTTGATGTGCAGGGCTAGCGCTACATACAACTCGTATTTTGTTATTCAAACATTTCATAGATTTTTGAATATTTTTTAAAACAAATTTCTCAGACCTGCTAAGCTCCACCCTAAAAAAATGCTCCAGATCTCATTCATCTTGTGACATTATCTGTCAATCATTAGTGCAGGGTTGATAGTGAGCACTATGTAGCTTCACCAGAGCTGACCACAAGTTTACAATAGACCATACAATACCAACATACATGTAGGAGTTGTTATGTCAGACATGCTGTAGCATCACCAGGAAAAGAAAGGTAGTGTGGAGGTATTGTATGAAAGAATGCAATTCTTTGGTGAACATGTGCTGAGTGGAGCTTAGCAGGTCTGAGAATTTTATATTTTTTTAATTAAAAAAAAAAATCATAAAAATCTATGAAATATATTTAGAATCAAGTTATATCTACGAGTACTTGCTGCCAAAAGTCAGTTACATGTAGGTCCGACCGATTTCATCGTTATCATTATCGGTACTTAGTTTATCCTTGATAAGGTCCCACCAGTCCCTAAACACTGAATGACAACTCGGTATGCAGTGTGTTATTATTGATACATATAATACACTTTATTTTTGTATCCTTTTATTCTGTTCATATTACATACATGTATTTATACAATATTTGAAGACTATAGATTTACAAAAGACATCAGAAATGACCTTTTGTCCCTATCATGATTGTATCTATAATGGTCACAAATTCACACATCTTTGCACATCCTTTGAACATATTCAACATTTCTTTAGGCAAACTCGAATGCTACATAACTTCAAAAATACATTGATCTACTTTGAGCTGAGAGTAATAGACTTTGAATAATCAACAAATAAATTAGTAGAATTGTACATATAATGCCAAAAGGCCCCTCTTCTCCCTTTCCCTAACATTAGACTGGCATTTAATTAAATTTAAATGACATTTATCCATATACAGTGTATTTCATACATGAGTGTAAAATTTCTTGATGACCAATGGTGGTGATGGCAAAATGCACCACTATTCAAGGGTCAAATCAACAGAACTTTCATTTTTTGATAACATATGCGAGGGGGAAAAAAAACATTTGTACGAGCCACACCGCACGAGAATCATACTGGATGACCTATCATATTACGAAACACTATTGCATAGATAACACAATTACAAAGCAAATATAATCTATTTATTTGTACTACGGTAAGCATCAACAAATGAGCGAACACTAAAAGCATGCAGCTGTTAAAGATGGGGAAAAAAATAGACAATAAAGACCAAAAGGGACATTGTATTGCAGTTTTCACTCAATGTATTACACAGAGTCACAGACAAGCTACAGTGACATTTGAGAAGAGGACTACTCCTCTTCTCAAATTTAGTTTGAATCTAGATTTTGATTGAAGGAATTATTTATCCTTAAAAGATACATTGTAGCTTCATTTGAAAAGTATGTCCTGGGTCCCATTTCACAAAGCATTTTTTCAATGACACAAATGACAAAAATCGGTGACAAATCTGCTGATAACCAGTCAGAAGCAAGGATTTCAGTAGCTTATATCTGATGTCAGTGGAACAAAACTTCCTGTTTGACATAATTCTAGGTACCTAAACAAGGTAGCACAGATATTTACTATATGTAGCTCCATATCTTAATGACGGTGTTTCACCTCTCTGTGATCAACTTAGGATTTATCATCAATTATGCTTACCGGTAGGTAGAGTCATTTCTTGCCAGTTACCACTACACTTGCTATTAAAGCTGCCTAAAGCATGTGAACACAGCCTAGATCTCACAACAAAAGAATAGTCATCATTGTGGAAGGCTGCACATCTTGCATGTCATTCACATGAGACCTTTATATATGCCTTTACGGTATGCAAAGAGTGCGCAACTGTGAGCTGATCAGTATTGTAGGTACACTTTCTTAGAGCTTGCTATTAAAATGATGCTAGCAAATGATGTTTTGCAAGAATTTCCGACATTTGCTTCCAATTTCACAATGACTCCATCGACATGCAAACCAAGAATTGTAGATCTACATGAACGGTGAAACCTCTTTTGATAACACCGTTTTTTAAATAGCAAACAAAAATAGACTCTTTACAGGCCCTGGGGAGTGTTTCACAAAGATCCTAAGTTGGACTTATCTCTAAAGTTGGACTTAAAAATTATGGAAAGCCGTTAGCATCTATGAAAATATTTTGTAAAAGTTATTTTAAAAGGCATAAAATGTTGATTCAACTCATTCATATTTTCTAATATTAAGGAGATTTCATGTTCTTCATGTGGAATTTATAAAAAGTTCTAAAATACTTGAATTTTTCGCTTTTGAATATTTTATTTCAAGGCTACAAATGGCTCTCCATAATATTTAAGTCCAACTGAGAGTTCAGTTCGACTTGGGATCTTTGTAAAACACCCCCTGGTCGACCAATGGAATGGATCTGCCACGGCTGACTTTGGTCAAACATGCAGTGCACATGCAAAATATACTCCAATCAATATGACATTTTCAAAAGAAAAATAAAAGACATCAGCTCCCATGCATGTTCATTTTACATGACCTCCTTTGCACTTGGCTTGGGTGAACTGAAAAGTTGCAAAATCTCAGTAATTAAAATATTTCAGTAGAGGTTGCTCTTTTTTCTTATATCTCAAATTAAGACGATGATATTAGGCTTGGAATTAACGGCAAAATAAATCAGACTCTACTATAATAGCACACTATCTTCAAAACAAATCTAAAGAAATAATGTGCTATTAACACACATATACTCAAATATAAATAGCCAGTACAAAGTAGCTGAGATACAATGACATAAGTGATGGTACAACTATAAAGAATATTTCCGTAGCAATTACCACGTTGACAAAAATATAGGTTTTCGGCAAGATAATTCTTAATCATTAATTCAAACAAAAGAAAATTAAATATAATTGTTGATACATGCCCAGGGAATAATTTTCCTCAAATATTTTGATTAGCAATTTCAGCTGATGGATAAATATTTCAAATGAAATTCTGTACATTTCTATGGAAGAAAACTGCTACACAAACAATATTTTGTGTAGCAGTCATGCAAAAATGCATAGCAAATTGCGATGCGATACCAGGAAAATTATTCCCTGCATGCCACAATGATGTAGGTTACTTTCAATAGCTTAATATTTCATACCATATTACACTATAGGATCCATATTTATTTCTTCCTTTAAAAAAATATTGTTTTATAAGAAAGCTGTAGCCTATCATATTAACGCTACTGGCCTGGGTCCTATGATAGTGACAGGTTAAACAATTTTCTTCATAGAGATAGCTATCTCAGAGAGTAGGGGTAAAGAAAGAGAGAGAGAGAGAGAGAGAGAGAGACACACACACACAGAGGGGGACAGAAAGAGAGAGAGAGAGGGGGGGGGGGGGGGAAGGGGGGGGGATACATGTAGAGTTGCCATCTTGTATTGTATAACTTATACCCTGTACAGCACAAGGGGAGAGAACGGACAGCAGAATGAGAGTGAGATCCCCGTACATCTAGATACAATTACACACTTGTGTGCATATTTTTAGTACATATATACTTTTAATTCAAAGAAACAGAAGACAATAGTTCGAAATTCACAAGAAATACATATATAATACTACACTCGTACACATACAGAATAAGGGCCACGCATGTTGTCAACATACATCTCTACAACATGAAATCAAATTGGTCAATTTGGAAACATCAACTTACTTCAAGTATGGCTAGATTCAGCTTTCTTTGTTCTGTAACTAATAGAGGTAAACTCCAGTATACGATTGAACTTGGGGATGCGGTTACGATGCAAAGCAACAATGATGAGTAAACGTCTAATGAGAACCTGATTCTTCTGTTCTTAATGTCATCCCCAGAGGCATCATTACACTATTTTGAATGGGCGGGAGGGAGGGACGGTGGTGGAACCAAATTTCCTGACAAGCGAACAAAAAATATGAAGGGGAAGGGGAAGGGGAGAGGAGGGTTTCCCCTTCTCACCCCCTTCAGTGAAGCCCCTGATAAAAAGCACAGAGCAACCAACAGCACATGTCACAATGAATACTGGACCTCAGAAGAACTAACTGTATAATCCATTTTTTGTGTGAATTATGTGATTATAGGGCTGTGAATTTAACAACACGTAAAACCGAGCGGGCAATGCATGTGCAAACGAAGATTGTATCGAGCCTGACGTGTGTTAATCATCAAGAAAACAACAACTTGATATACGTCTGGCCCTGTTAGCCGCATCCATGTCCCTATATGTTATAGTAATGATTAAGAGAACAACAATGATGTCATTTTTAATTGACTCAAGAAGCATCGACAGTGCATCTACAAGAAGAAAGAGAAGAAAAAAACAGGCATGCACAGGATGAATCGATTTCATCATATTGGTCCATTTCCAAAGTTCATTTGAAATGATGACAGCTGCTCTAACTTCATCTAGCCAATCTTACACTTTCTAGGTACACACACGCACCATTGACCAATCAGTTATAAGCTTACCTTTCAAATTCATTCCTCTTCATTGATCCATGTATTAGACACACACTTAAGTCTTGAAGTTTCTCAACATTACATTGCAAACACCCTATAAACAACCGAGCGTTCAGCTAACATTTCAAATTCATTTTTTTGCTACATTGATCCATATATTAAATGGACACTCAAGTCTTGAAGTTTCTCAAAATGACATTACAAACACCCCATCAAGAACCGAGTGTTTAGCTAACATTAAAATTCATTCTTTATCATTGATCCATTAAATCTCTCTAAATGACATAACAAATACCCCAATGATGGCTCGGTATTCAGCATATATTTCAAAATCCATTCTTCTTCAGTGATCCACAAATTGAAACAGAGAAACTCAAGTCTTGAAGCTTCTCCAAATTCATGTTGTTCCTGAAATCAAACTTTCACTGCATCACCTTTTGACTTAAAGATGAAGTTGAGTTCTGGTCATGCGATTGCATTGTGAAAGAAATGATGTGGAATCGACCAGAAAAGGTTGATCATCTAGCATACCGGTATATAGATATTTGTGTGTATTGCAAGGTTCTGGAATCATCAAAATGATAAGACATATTTCGAATATGAGGCATTTGAAGAGCCATGCTTTTCAGGGAACATGCTTTAATTGATGTTCTTCCACTCTTGCATAATAACAATGATAACGCTCACAAAGTTATATTTCACCTCTTCCCAGAACTCAACCTTCTCTTTAACCTGTTAATTGTCAGATGTCCGCTAAAAGGCCATTGCTGCCATTGCTTATCTTCCTGCAGACAGCCGCCTATGTACGATTTTGATTTTGATATAACACACTCACTTTCCATCGACTCCAACCCCAGGTATCAAAGGCAAAGGATTCAACAGATTCAAACTCACAAAAAGAGCTCTCTCTTGTAGCACTTACTGGCAGGGGAGTATTCTTGTTCTAATCTCACCGAGTTCCATAACTAGTCATGGACTGTAAAGGCATATCTTTGCCCCAACTGTCCGCATGTCTTTCGTACATGTAACACAGTGTTCCTTGCATTCCTTGAGAACAAAATTCCCTGATCCCCATGGTCTTTCAAAAAATGGGGGCTCCAAATTTTCAACATCATTAAAGGAGGTATTTTAGACACTAAAAAGCTATCATTACCCAGTGGATATGTTATTTGGATACAAGACAAATACGATACTCACTGCTTTCATTGAGGCCAATAAAATTGTCAGAATTTTCCCCCAATTTGAGTGATTTTCCTCAAAATTTCCTGACTTTTCTGCGACAGGGAATTTAAAGAAGGAAATAATTTGGGTACCAGGTTTTCCCCGATTTTCAGGATTGCTAAGAACTCTGGCCCTGCACACTGACCATTACATTGGACCTCGTTCGACCTCTAACCCTCTAACTCTAAACATGCCCTTCATACTACAATAGAAATTCATTTAATTAATGGCCTAAAGCTTGCTTCAGATATGAAGCCGTAAACTGCAATTTTTCTTGTTGTTGTTGTTTCAATAATGAAATACATAAATTAATACACTTCACATTTCTCTATCTTATAACACAGGGCTCAGTGCATACACATGGGACCTTTGATGCGTGTAGTTGGTATTCAATTACACATTATTAAAAATTTGATTAAAAAAGAAACCTGGCTTACGGCTTCATATCTGAATGAGCCATGTACACACCAAGGACCCGTTTCACAAAGCCTTTTTTCAATGAAAAATTACACAAATCGATGACAAATCTGCTGATAACCAATCAGAAGCAAGGATTTCAGTAGCTTAAAACAAAAACTGTCATTTGTCACTGATGATAAGTTTTGTGAAACGCCCCCCAGGAGTGGGAACAGTTCTTTCTGACCAATGGTTTCACCGGATTGTTGATACAGAGATCCTGAGGACGTCCTTGTCCTTGATGAAACATCAGAACCCTTTGCAGATGATACCTGGGGGGTGTTTCACAAAGATTCTTAGTCGAACTTAACTCGAAGTTGGACTTAAAATTTAGGGAGAGCCATTTGTAGCCTTAAAATAAAATATATTCAAAAGTGAAACAATCAAGTAGACCCTTTATAAATTCCACATCAACAACATGAAATCTCCTTGATAATAGAAAATATGAATGATTTGAATCAACATTTTATACCTTTGGAAATAAATTTTACAGAATATTTTCATAGATGCTAACGGCTTTCCATAAATGTTAAGTCCAACACTTAGAGATATGTTCAACCTAGGATCTTTGTGAAACACCCCCTGTTCTACAACGCAGTCCTCATTCTTAGTCTAACCTGATATGAGAGTGGACGACCCTGTTTGAATTAACAATAATAATGGTGGTTTCTTCTTTATCACGCAAGTCCATTGCGCCGCATCACTCCTGGTGCTCCAGCATAATCACCCCGGTCGTACATGTAGCTGGCAGCCATATATGTAGCGTTCTAGCGCATCGTAACCCATTTATCTTGAGGTGGAGGTGGCCAATGTGTATCTATGTCTTGCCAAAGGATCTTATCGCTTGGCTGGGATTTGAATGCTTAACCCCTGGATTGAGAGTCAAGTGAATGAACCACTACACCAACACATAAAATGATGTCAGCGAAGAGTCCTCATGGCTATGCAACAAACAAGCATTCTGGTTTATAGAGAGAAGTCTAGATGAAGATGCCGTTGGTGAGATATTGGAAACCGTCATACAATCTGGTGGTGAGAGAATGCATACTGGACTCCACCATGTTTTGTACCCAGAGCTGGAGCTGTTCTTCGGTCAGGTTCATGTGGAATCGCTCCTTCATGGCCTTCACCGTACTGGCACCTTGCTTGAAACAGGCCAGCTCAGATCCTGTATAGATAAATAGATCGATAGTTTATTGGTTTCCACAATATCTCATTTTATAAAGAGTGTAACAAGTTAACAACATATTGAAAATGATTATAATATAATAATAATAATAATAATAATGATAATAATAATAATAATAATAGCCTAATACATGTAGATACATATACAATACAGGTACACACTATTCAGAATATCGACCATTGAGTTGAACTTGAGAGATATAGTGGCGGAGCCTATGGAAAAGCAGAGCTTGTTGTGGGTAGGCTCCTTAAACTACAAATGACATAATTAACTACAGTAAAAAATAAAAATACAAATACACGCCGCACTAATGTTCTTTGGCAAGACATTGATCTACATTTGCCACACCTCACCCAGGTGAAGTAAATGGGTACCTGGTAAGAATTTATTCCTTGAAATGCTAGAGCGCCGTATGGCAGCCGTGCTAAAGCCAGTGAGGGTAATAATCGGGAGCGCCAGGAGGGTTAAATCTGACTGACATGAGCGCTATACAAGAACCCATTATTACTATTATTATTATTATTAAACTAGATGGAATTCGACTGCGCGCAGTCGAAAATGATGCCTCCGTCATAGAGCAATTTTACAAACCAAAACAGAAGAAATTTTTCAAATTCAAGTTCAATTGTAATCCATTAACAGGTTCTCAGAATATCGTGATTACAAACAATTTCTCATATACATATATGACCCTTTGAACTTTGACCTCATGATCCTAATATCTACTCAGCTCATTGGCTCTGCAAGATATCCAGAGTTAAATAGTAATCCATCTGTCAGTTCTAATGAGAATGCGTTCACAAGCTATTTTTGCATACATAATGAGCCCATGACCTTGGACCTTATGAACCAAGAATCTACACAGTTCATTGGCTCTGCAAGATACATAAATGATCTAAGTTTGGCAGGAATCCATCAATCTGTTCTAATGATAACGCGATCACAAGCTGTTTTTGCATACATAATGGGCGCTGTGACCTTTGACCTTTGACCTCGTTACCCAAAATCTAATAAGTTCATCGGCTCTGCAAGTAACATACATGACCTAAGTTTGGCAGGAATCCATCAATCGGTTCTTGAGATAACGCGATCACAAGCTGTTTTTGCATACATAATGAGCCCTGTGACCTTTGACCTTTGACCTCGTGACCCCAAAATCTAATCAGTTCATTGGCTCTGCAAGATACATACATGACCAAAGTTTGGCAGGAATCCATCAATCGGTTCTTCAGATAACGCGATCACGAGCCGTTTTGCATACATAATGAGCCCTGTGACCTTTGACCTTTGACCTCGTGACCCCAAAATCTAATCAGTTCATCGACTCTACAAGATACATACATGACCAAAGTTTGGCAGGAATCCATCAATCGGTTCTTCAGATAACGCGATCACGAGCCGTTTTGCATACATAATGAGCCCTGTGACCTTTGACCTTTGACCTCGTGACCCCAAAATCTAATCAGTTCATCGACTCTACAAGATACATACATGACCAAAGTTTGGCAGGAATCCATCCATCGGTTCTTCAGATAACGTGATCACGAGAACGGGACGTACGTACAGACGTACGTACAGACGTACGGACGGACGGACGGACGGACGGACGGACGGACGGACGGACAACCCGAAAACATAATGCCTCCGGCTACTTCGTAACGGAGGCATAAAAAGGGAAAGGGAGATTACAGGGATACATGAACCGATACTCGCAATAAAAGACAAGGGGAAACAACATGCAGAGGAGGTTATTACTAGGGAGAGATCTGTATACAAAATGCCATAGCTCTTTGACTGATTGCAGTTAAAGAGTGCAAGCTGAACTAAATCATGTTATATACCTCTCTTTAAAGAGATGAACAATGGTCACTCCCACAGCCTATAAAACAACTATTCCTCTCACAGCAGTCATTATATCTATACTATGGACACAGAACTGAAGATGTTCTACAATTAGGCTCATGTGGAACTTCTTCTACAATCCTTCACAGACGATCACCTTTCATAAAACAGGCTAGTTTTGATCATGTAAACAGGTACTTAGTGATTGTTAATGTCATTCTCCTCATTTCTACATCAATATCAACACTACCATCTTCATCATGGACTTCTTCATATCAATATCATCAATTTAATCCTAACAAACAACCATTTAACATATCATCATCCCCATCATCGTCGATTACCAATTATCATTTTCATCATTATTTTCATCACCATTACCATCATCATCATTACTATTTTCATCATAAATTTCATCATCATTACCATTTTCATCATTATTTTCATCATTATTTTCATCACCATTATCATCATCATCATAACTATTTCCATCCTTATTTTCATCACCGTCATCATTACTTTTTCACCTTTACTTTCATCACCATTATCATCATCATCATAACCATTTTCATCATTATTTTCATCACCATTGTCATCATCATCATAACCGTTTTCATCAATATTTTTCTCACCATTATCATCACCATCGTAACCATCATTATCATCATCAACAGTTCCATTATCCACACTATCGACCCTATAAAAAATCATCCAGTTCAACGGAAGTATTCCTTGCCCATACCTGTCATCACCTCCACCAGCTGAACCAGCTTGTCCATGTGTTTCCTGGCTGCTATCAACCCCTGCAACATCAGAATCTTGTAGTATTCAAACATGTCACTTCCAACTCCACCCATTACCTGTACAGAGAAAATATAACAAGATCAGGGATGGTTTCTATATCGTTATTAGCATAATAGCATTGCAAACATTTATAATTGATTATTCAGCAGTTTCTTGTGCCTGGGGAGAAACGATTACTGGTAATCATAAACAATTACTAACTTTAGTCCAGCTAAGTGTGAAAGAAGTCCACTGATTCATGGAGTGCCAGTTGTAAGTCAATTGGATTTGGGCCCTTACCTCAGCAAATTCATGCATTAGCTTGAAGTGGGAGGCCTCAAAGCCGAGGTTCTCCATTCCAAGTCTTATCTACAGGATGGTATACAAATATTGACTGCTCATGAGGATGATGGTGGGAATTGTCACTCCTAAGGTGGTGTTCAAGATCGCCTAATTGGGGTACCGGCCCTTCTATCATGATATGATAGAAGGGCCGGTATGAAATTATCACCGAGGGAGTGATAATTTCCTCCACCATCTGATTACAAAGCAGTCTATATTTGTTTTATATACCTCATCCTTTTCATTGATTAATGAAAAGGTCTAGAAAAGAAATCCAATATCAAGAGTCTATATGCTCCTCACAATAATATATTTACAGTCTTTTGAAGCTCAAAACAGTTTCAATATCCAACGCTAAAAGAAATCAATCATAATGACATCCAATCTATACTGCAGTAAGGTAATGCAGTTACTAAGGCTCAGCGTAAATTGCATGGCTTGAGCGCCGTGACAACGCATGAGTTGCGCGCTGAAGAGCATTTGAAATCTGGTACGCTCTGTGTGTGTGCAAAAGTAGCGGAGAGGTTAGGAGTAGTAACACAGGGTTTGATAGAATGCCGAAACCCACTGACGCAATGATAGATTGAGAAGCTCCTTGTCATATGATATAGTTTTGACCAATCAGTAAATGACAATCTATGTATGAGGTATTTAAAACGTTTTAGCATCTCTCTACAACCTAGGTTGGGAACAAGATGGGCACTTACCTCAACAAATTCATGTGTGAGCTTGAAGTGAGAGGCCTCAAAGCCGAGGTTCTTGGGTGAAGAAGAGAGGATGAAACCAAAGTCAATGTGGATGATATGACCCTCTGGATCCAGGAGGATGTTACCATTGTGCCTGTTGCAAAATAAAAACGCAAGGGTATTAGTTTGATTTTTTTGTTAAATGTCATGGTAAATCTCTTCCGGAGTGTTTCAATTGGTCTATATGCTGGAATTTATGACCTTTGACCAATAACAGGGTGGGATATTACTTTGTTTACAGTACTGCATTTGTTAACTTAACACATTACGAAAAATACAGGTTATGTGCACATGATGGTAGCACTAAAACAACAAGCATTAGTTTGATGCAGGTACATTCATTATGTCCTATAAGGCTCTTATAAGGTGCTCTCAGGGGTTAATGAATAATAATAATATTAATATAGCGCACAAATCCACCACGCAAGGTGCTCAAGGCGGTACAAAATTACCCCTGCTCTACTAGGCTACCAATTTCGGTGCCTACAGCGGTTTAGGAATTCCCTCCTACCGGGACCTGATAACACCTGGGTGGAGAGAGAGAGACAAAGGTAGATCAATGTCTTGCCAAAGGACATTAGTGCCGCGGCTGGACTCGAACTGCAGACTATGCGATCCACAGTCCAAAGATGTATCAACTAGACCACAACTACACTTCTATGAAAGGGGAACTAGACCGGTCCCTTACCTGTCTTTGACTTGAACCAGGTAGCAGACCAAGCAGTAGGCCGCAAGGCTCTGCACAAAGTTCTTCTGAGCAGTGAGGAAGTTCTCCGAGCTGGGCCCGCCAAACTCCCGATGGAAGTAGGTCAGGAGCGTACTCTTGCTGTTCTTCTTCACCTGGTGGAGGGAGATGGCGTTGATGATGGGCTCGATCAGGCCGCTGTTATTGGACGTCACCAGGATGTTGCATGGACGCACCCAGAGCGGGACGTGCTCCTGTCTCCAGATGTTCTGCATGGGACAGGTGTAGATGCAAGACATTCGTTATTCCCAAATTAACATGTAGTAAAGGTTTTAATTGCAGGTACCATGTATACACAACTATTAAAAGAAAGGTATTCAGCATGTTTATGTAATTTGACAATTCAGTATCATACTGATTAATAATATTTACTTTGAGTGAAGATATATATATATAATGCTTACAGCTTACAATTCATGAACAGATGAACAAAAGCAAAAAAACAATTCACAATGTAAAACAAGGTTATATGACACATTCTCTGGCAGCAATTGCTCCATGGTCATTATCTAGTACTAACCAAATTCCTAGTTCAACTTTGGAACCAACTCTATCCCTTTACCTAAAATAATCTACAGTCTAATCCAAATTGCAACCCTCACCCTAAAACTTTTTCTCTGACGAATTGAAACCCGGGGCATAAGTTGGATCACCACAAAATGATACACAGAGAGTTCATAAAACATAAGCATGTGACACAGAGAGATGTGCAATATGAAAGAAAAGTGATGGCACTGCTGCCAGGAGAGGTCTTGGCTCAGTGGTAGAACAGTGGTCTTGTAACCGGAAGGTCACAGGTTCAAAACCAAGTCAATGCGCTAATGGCATTTGGTAAGTCATTAATTCTCATTAAAAAGTTACCCGGAAAGGAATAACAGCTGTTGGTCTCCTGGTTGCTTACTAACAAGCATATACATGCTTTAGTAGTAGCACTATACAGAGCGAATTTATTTTTTCATTTTTTTTCACATAATATAAACAATGACAAACAATAATAAACGTAATGATATAACAGAAGTGAGCATTAAAATATCTCTGACATTGTTTTTGGTCACTGTAATGCAAAATGATTTGGTTACAGGAAATGAAAAAAACGAACCTACTTGAAAGCAATGCTTGTTAGGTGTAGATTCGCACATTAATAATTGAACTTTATACATTTATAACTTAATTTTGAAGAAAAAAATTACGTTATAAAAAACAAACACGACAGAGAATAAAAAACAAACAATTAAACAAGACAAAAACAAATCAGAAACAGTAGCAGTAGCTTTCATAGCAGTCGGGTAAAAACAAACCATCTTTATCATCATCACTATTAACCAGCCCGTACCTGCAGTTGTGTGATGAACTGGAACGAGAGGAGCTCCTGTCTCAGGTCATCACCACACTTGACAATGACAGAGAGGAGACGCCAGTTAGGCAGGTGGCCGTATGGCGACGACTGCCGGATGCGTTTCTCCTTCTCGTCCCATGGCTCCTTCAGTGCGGAGGCCGATGGGTCCTCAGGGTCATGCTGTAAAGTGAGACGAGACATGGAACAACATTGGTTTCATAATCACATGTGTATAAACAAAAACAGGCTGCCAGGTTCAGTATTTTCTAAACCATTATCCAACCAAACAAAAATCACCACCATCACCATCATCACCATCTTCATCACCTTTACCCTTTACCATCACCATCACCACCATCACCATCACCATCACCATCACCATCACCATCACCATCACCATCACCATCACCATCACCATCACCTAACCATCACCATCTTCATCACCATTACCCTCACCATCATCATCACCATCATCACCATTACCACCACCCTCATCATCATCACCACCACCACCACCATCATTAGCAGCACCATTACCCTCACCATCATCATCACCATCATCACCACCATCACCACCACCACCACCATCATCATCATCATCATCATCATCATCATCATCATCATCATCATCATCATCATCACCATTACCACCACCCTCATCATCATCACCACCACCACCACCATCATTAGCAGCACCATTACCCTCACCATCATCATCACCATCATCACCACCACCACCACCACCATCATCACCATTATCACCACCACCACCACCACCACCACCACCACCATCATCAGCACCATTAGCATCACCATCACCACCACCACCACCAGCATCACCATCACCACCACCACCACCACCACCAGCATCACCATCACCACCACCACCACCATCATTATCATCAGCACCTAACCATTACCATCACCATTACCCTCACCATCATCATCACCAGTATCACCATTAACACCACCCTCATCATCATTATCACCACCACCACCACCACCACCACCACCACCACCACCACCACCATCATCATCATCATCATCAGCACCTTCACCATCACCATCATCATCACCAGCATCACCATCATTGTTATGGTCATCATTAATAATAATAATAATAATACACACCATTTATTAGGCGCTTAATACTGGTGTTTCTTAGCGCACCATTTTGTGATTAAAAATTACCAACCAAAACTTATAATAAACACACAAATTAAAAATATGTTCTTAATTCATTAAATCATTCATATATATCAACATGCATCGTACCCACTGACACCTTCTCCATCGTTATCTCCATCACCTCCCCTTCATCACTAAAAAAAACACCATCCTTCTCACCTTGAACGTAGTGGAAGGTGCTTTTAGGGATTCTGCAAGCCTTCTCCTAATATCTCCGGCAGCGATATAAACTGGTTCCTTGCTGTCGGTACTCGTCACACTCTCGTGAGAGAACTGAGATATCGTATCGCTGGAGCTGGACTTCTTCGAGTAGCTTGAGTATTGCTTTTGGGAGAGAGAGTGGAACAGGAGAGTTTCTAATAAGTTTCAATTGTATAACATAGCCACTGCATGAAAACTTGTATCACATTGGTATTTTGGCAAATCCAAAGTGAAAAATGTCCCATACATTGATTAAGATTCATGGAATGTTGATTATAATCGACACCCACTCACATCACTTTCCTTCATATTTTGGTCTGAACAAAGCTGTATTAGGGCTATTAATTTCATTGGATTAACAGGTATGTGTACAGTGTACATGGACATCTTTTACAATCATGCATTCAATTCAAGTTTCAGACTTGTAGCAACATGCCTTTTTTAAAATAATTTCTACAGATGTACATGTACCTATGACAATGAACAGCCCTATTAGAGATAATGCTCCTGTCTAGGGAGCCTGGTATGAATGATTATCCATTTCCCCAATTTGCAGGGGGCGGGAGGGGGAGAAAGGAACAGCTGTATTTCCTATAGTAGTAATGATATGTCATCATTTGGATGACAGGAAAGTATTCAGAAAGGATACGAGTCATGTGTTATTGATTGCCAGGAAAAGGGCAATTTGAAGAGTAAAATATCTCTCACAGTAATCAGTCCCACTAATAACATGTAGGTATGTGGCATGAAAATAACACACATTACAGTTTTGAAATATGGAAATATGTATTTTGGAGGTTCTGATACTACACAAAACCTTCTGAAATATCATTCATTTGCACTATTTATGAATTTCGATTTGAGTAGACTTACAACAAAAATGTAAAGAGACATTAAACATGTATGTACACAGGCTACAATATCCCTCCCTACGATATGTAGACCTATGTGGGAGGGAATTTATTTGGAGCTCTAATCCATGCATTGTCCTTGGAGTGCGCATGTGTGAGCATGTCTAACTCTTCAACTCCTCTTCTTCTCTACTAGCTATGGGTCAATGTACTGGGTTGGAGTAATGATCAAGCTATTTGTGAGTTGTCTCTTTAAGGTAAAGACCGGTGGTGGTAAAATTGCGGTTCAATTTTTTTTGGTGCAAAATATCCATTCAATATTGTTTAAATATTGCCTTCAGAGGTTTAGATGGCGATACTCTAACCTATATTTGCCAAAAAGCAGAAATATATGACCAAATGTTCAATGTTAAAGTGCGTTTGTGATATCTATCCAGGCTGGATCAATATGATAATTTACCAAATATATCAATAAGTAGGCGGTTTCCTGGCAAATCATCACGTATTGGTCAAAACATATTCTTTCACATGATTGGTAATAAGAGCTTCCATTTCATTTTTTAACCCTATTTAGCCCGGGCTATTTTGAAACTGCATAGCCCGGGGGGGGGGGGGGGGGCTTCTCAGGCCCCCCCCTATGATCTCGGCCGTGAAACGACCGATCGCCGCGAAAATTTGCATACATGTCAAGTGAAGTGTATAGATTACTATGGTAATTTCAATTTTTTGAAAAATTCACTCATTTGCATATTTATGGTAATTTATGCAAATAAGGTCATCAAATTCACATTTTTGCCCATAAATCAGACATTATTCATATTTAAGCATTCTTTCTCACTACATATATTTGTTAGACCATTTGGAATAATAATACAACACAAAAAATTGAAAAACCAGGGTTATTCTTTATGTTATCTATTGTTTTGATAATTTCTTATGTATTTCTTTGTTTTTTTAACTCATGTATTTTTATTGTTTTTGTTGTTTTATTTCATTTCCAACTATAATTCAACTATTTTGACCCCAAAATAAACACCTCAACTATAAACAAGACCAAATAACCAATGTTTTATCTCTTTATTTGAAAAAAATGAGATTTCCATATGTTTTGTACACAAATCACAAAAATGAGCGATTTTCGGGCTGACATGCAAAGACAAAAGGTCATGTGACTTTGTAATGGTAGGTCCGATTTTCGAAAAATTTCTTTCAAAAGATGCGCAAGACTCGAAAGAAAAAAGTCACAAAATTTCAGTGCAAGATTTTCTTGCGTTAAAAAATTATCGCGAAAAATGTCGAGGGGGGGGCTTCTCAAGCCCCCGGGCTAAATAGGGTTAAGAGGGGGGCGTTTCCAAAACTGGTCTATACCTTTAAAGGTCGGCTGTACTAGTTCAGCCAGAAGGGATTAGACCACACAGCTAGGTCACTGACAGATGGCTATCTTATAAACACAGCTCTCAATTAACATAAGAAAAAGAGGATCATGGGGGACCAACAGGCACCGATTAGAGAAGTTTTCTATATAGATGGAGCAAGTAACTACAAGTAGTACAGTGTGGCTTTAAGCGGTGAGAAAATGTCTACATATTTGTACATCCATCTTACCTGAAGTATGTCATCATCTTCCTGTGACCAGCATTCATGATCAGAATCATTGATGTGATAAACCGCGTACGTGGTGGGCGGTGTGTGAGTAGCCGGGGCCAATTCACCGTGGAAATACCTGCTCAGATTCTCCTCCGACTTGGTGAACCGCAGTGTGTTTTCTAGAATCTTGGCCGGGAGGGGCGAAGTGTGCTTGTTCTCACAGTCTAGTACCTCAACGTATATGAGATACGGGGCCTGGGGGGACGAAGAATGAAAACATGTATACATGAATTTAAATACCAACCACCTGAACAGAGAGACCAACTGTCTATAAAGACCACGTTTTTGTGTTTCCTTTGAAAACGGTTTCAGTGTGTTTTCTAGGATCTTGGCCGGGAGGGGTGACGTGTGCTTGTTCTCGCAGTCTAGTACCTCAACGTATATGAGATACGGGGCCTGAGGTGGCGCAGAATGACAAGGTGTATACATGAATTTAAATACAGTCAAACCTGCTTTAGCAACCACCTGTACCGAAAGACCCCCTGTCTATAAAGGACCACATTTTTTTCCTTGTTCCCTTGAAAACGGTTTCATTGAAATGTGTACTAAAGAAGCCTGTACAGGAAGACCACCTGCCTATAAGAACCATTTTTCTTGTCTCCCTAGATTAGTCTTTATGCACAGGTTTCACTGTATAAGAGACTGTGACAGGTTTCAATATTAATTCCATGACAAATATGGGAAGAAGAGTTTTCATTTCTAAGCTATGATCCCCTCCTACTATTCTTATACTGTAGGTGACCAAGCATCGCAAACTATTTTGTGGAGGCTAGAAAGAGCGAGTGATGGGATATCGTGATTACCAAAGTCGGCAGATACGGCACCTAGAGAGAGAGAGAGAGAGAGAGGGAAAGAAATGGAAAGAGAGACAGAGATGGAGAGAGAGAGAGACAGAGACGGAGACGGAGAGAGAGAGAGAGAGAGAGAGATCCTCACCTTGTCTTTCGAGTTGAGGACTACCCCGGCAGTGTGTGGAATGCGTACGATGTGATGGTTCTTGGAGGCGGTTGAGGGAACCCAGATCCTGGCTGGGAGATTCAGGTTTAACTTCTGAAGCTCAGAAAACAAATGGCTCGCTTAAAGGTAAGAAGGAGCAGAGAGAGCATTAAATTAAAACGTCAGAACTGTGTAACAGGGATGCAGCGAGGAAAGAATAACCGAAAGGCAAATGACATTGCAAATGAGATTGTCTCAGAATGTGTTTAATAATATGTGAATAAGGAAATGTTCATAAGCGGAATCGTGTCCTAATAAACTCCTTTGGACCGAGAAAACTACCTTTTTACTCATTAGACCTTGATAAATCAGGACTCACATTGGTAGAATACAAGGATGCAGTGCAGGCAAAATGATCTGAATCAAATTAAAAAACAGGGTTCTTTAATACAAGATTTCATTGTGATACATGTACATACACATCTAATTAATTAATGCAAATTGTCATCCAACAAAAAATACTCACTTCTCAACTCTCTGGAGGGCAAACCCTGTAGTTTCTTACCGATACCCATCAAAGCTTTAAGGAATTCCAACATGGGTGCCAGTCTTGGGGCCTGAATTTATTACAGAAAGGAAAGACAACATTAACAATTCGAACTATACCAACTACTTCAAGGCACTCCACCTTCACATTCAAGTTACTGTCATGAAAAATTTGATTCTTGTACAAGACAAATGCATTCAGGCAGGAAAACAGTCTGATAGGTTCTTGCTAAAATATATTTTTTGATCAACAGCATCCTAATGATTGATTGATTGATTCTAATTTATTCCATTTTATATCAATTGTTTGCACAAATAGTTGACAGAGTAAGTTAAAAATTATGAAATGAAACAGGAACCTACTGGAAAGCATAGCTTGTTTTTGTAGGTTCCCAAGAATAAATATAATATTAACATTGTTTTCATAAATCATTTTAAAGTATAATATAAAAACATATTTTCATAAATCATTTTTAAGTGTCTAAATAAACAAAAGAATGACAAGACGGGACACAAAGGACAGGAAACTGACATAATAAGATCAACTAAATTATGGTAAATAACAAAACATCATATTTTAAATAAAGTGATGCAAAACAAGGAAGGGGGCGTTACCTGGCACTGGCACTCAATGACTGCCTGAGGGCGCCCTGTTAGTTCATTGAGCTTGTTTTCGGAGCTGTCAAAGCAGTTGCACTGGCTGTCGAAGGCTCTACCAGATGTGAGGTCCCCCAGACGCATGTCTCCTTGGCGTAATGTTCCTACTATTTCTGGTGTGATCGCTAAGAATGAGAAATCAAGAATAATTGGTGATAAAGTTGAACACTACATTTAAGGATACAGAGCTGATGTGCAAATACATCTTTTTTTTTTTTTTTTGTTCTTATAAGTATTGCATATTAATTCACAAAAATGTGTTGAATTTTTAACTAATATTCACTGTATATGAACTGTGTATTAAATTGTTGATATGAACTAATTAACTAAACAAGTCCACAATAACACAAAGTAAAAAGAATTTAATATTCATGTTCCTATGAATCTCTTCATTTCCAAGATAGTTATTTGATTTCTATTTATTTGACTAAGGCACAGCTATTTTTTAATATAATTTTTCAACTAACTGTATACGAAAATCCGGTAACGATAAATGATAAATTAATTCCTTGAAATGCTAGAGCACCGTAATGGCAGCACAGCTTAAGCCAGGGGGAATAATCTCCAAGTTTGGAAGCGCTAAAAACTGAGTATTATTATTATTATTATTATTATTATAATTATTATTATCTACATATTGCTAGGAGGTGATAACAGCTTTACAAGTTTTGCTTACTTGCTGTGGCATCTGATCTGGATCTTGAATGGGTCCTCTTGGGGGAAACCACCGATGTCGGACTGTGAAGGTCCACCGGTGGGAACTGCGACGCTCCTAGAGAGAGCGACTCCCGCTTCACCTTGGGGCGGAGTTCCTCGGAGAGAATCTGCTTGCGAAGCTTTGCTCCTCGGGACTGCTTGCGGGAGGGATAGTTCAAGTCCGGCATGTAGGCTTCCAGCATCCATACCAAATGCAGGGAAAAGTGAATGCTTGACTTACACCTGTAAAGATAGAAATGATAACAAATGATGTAACAATATAATTATGCAGGAAAATCCAAGTGGGGTGTTAAATTTGCATCCATACAGGCTAAAATATACAGATGAATAACATAATAAACAATGGAAGAGAATGTAAAATTTACAAAGTATCAAATTGTGAAGTCAAAAATGAATAAAGATACAAATGATACTGTATATAAATGTGTAGAAAGATTCAAACGGGGAAATAAATTATTAATTTGCACCTATAATTCTTAAGCAATAATACAGAACGTATACATGTACACGTAGAATTATTAAAGTTAAAACCATAACAACAAAAACAAACCCCCAAAGTAATCAAACAACAACAGCAACAAGAAACATAGTGAGGTTTCATTGAGAGCATGCACATGTATGTCTGCAATTTTTCTATCGATACATAGTTAGGAAAGTTGAAGGTACTTTGCCTGATGTATTATTGATATTATTAGTACATGTACACCAATGATTTCTGTGAATGTGACAGTCCTACTGTGTACATACTGTACATTTACAATACATCAGCAAAAGAAAATACCCAGGAGCAGCAGTGAGCGGTTTAGTTCTTGAAAGCTCCAAGAGAGCTCTAGTCAACTGAAAAGAGCTCTGGTAACCCCCCCCTCCCCCCCCCCCCCCCCCCCCCCCCCCCCCCCCCCCCCCCCCCCCTCCCCCCTTCCCCCTTCCACCGCTCCTAATGATACATTTTAAAAGTAGCACTGCAAGAAAATATCACTTAATATACAATATCAAATCATAAAAGAGCCTCAATAAACACAAAATTTATTTAACACTGATTTTTTATGTACAATGTACAGCCACAGCATCAGATTCATCGATATATTTTCCTTAAAAAAAAAGTGTCAGTACTAGTAAAATGTAGTCAGTTTCTACAACAATAAATGAGACCAAACACCTTGGACTTATCGTGTATTATAAATTGTAAGCTACATAATTATATACATACATGTATGTGCCTTTAGAAAGTTAATTCATCTACATGTACATGAAACTGTACATGTATGCTACATTTCTGCACCCTTGTAAAAAATAATAAAGCTTTAATTTAAATTCATAACTTAATCAATATTCTTTGTGACTGTGCCATGTCAGTAAAGCTGCTCCAAGTGCATGTACAGATACTGTACGATGTACATGTATGGCTTTCTCTCCCTCTATCCCTCCCCTCCCCTTCCCTCCTCTCTTTCTCTATCTTTTCCTCTACCCCTTTTCAGGCTCTCACTCACTGCCCCCCCCCCCCCTTCTTTCTCTCGCCGCCACACCCATTTTTGCCGAAAATCTCACTATTTGGTTCACCATATCTCCCAAACCCCTCACTCGATTGACCTAAATTTTGAGATTTGGTGCTGTGAGATCACACTCACCAAGTACAGTTTTATCAAAATAAAAAATGGTCAGGTTAAAACCATTGGGTGATTTGACATGGAATGACCCCTACATAGAATGTACTTGTATACATGTACATGTGAGTATTACACATGCCCTTCAGGGTAAAGCATATACTGATCATACAAGAAAGGTCTGAATTAATCATTGAAGAATCTGACTAGCTAGGCTAATGACTGATAAGGAGGAAGTTCAAGAAACTTTTGACAGCTAATCCAAACCACATACAGCGTAGGCCTACATGTTCCTTTCCTTTCTGCCTCACACCAGTTCTCTGCCAATTATTAATCCTACAACCTTACACCGGAAGGATATTGGAGCCAAAGGGATATTTACATGAACATCTCCTTTCAGCAACAAGGAAACAATTCATATCACATGATTGTTCATCATTGTTGTTGTGCTGGAAAAATGAAAACAACACGACCTCCAATTTCAAAGTCAAAGTGAAAGTCAAAATACCATCTGTAGATGGAAAAAATGGAATGAACTAACTACATGTACGTTTACATAGAATCCCACATACAAACTGCTGTACTAAATTGTTGTTCATCTCCGTAGACTGTAGTGTACATGTACATAAACAGGTACATGTAATTGTCCGCTCTACTTTCTTTGCAATCAAATGTTTTGCTTGAAATAACCAAACTAACCATTTTAATGTACACTGTACATACATGTACACTCAGGCATCAAATCTTGTGGGTTAAATCTGGAGGAAAAGGTCACAGAAAACTATGAACCTTCTACCAGCAACACAAACCAACTACACGTAGTACAGTACAAGTATTCCCTGTATGAATTCATTTCAATACTATGCCATAACATATCTTCCTCGCAAGAGAGTCCTAGCAACACTTCATGAAAATATTCAAAGTTTCAACCAATTAAAAGGCTGTTCCTCTCAATATGTCTGTTAATATGAATTCCTTTGAATGAAATTCCTTCTCCTTATTTTCAGCAAATTATGGATTCCAATACATTTTATGGATCCATAGAACAAAAGAGTGCCCTATGAAGCCTAGAAATGACTAAACTATAGTACATGTATATCTCAAAATGGGATAACAGCATTTAATGTATCTGGTTTATCTGGTCATTTTGCCTGCTAAGGCAGAGAGGGCCAAAAGGCATTAACTCTGAGTTAAAGTATTTGAATAAATAAAAACCCTTCTTCAGCAGACAGTTTTTACTACATGTAGATACTGCAACAACACTGAATACACATCTCAAAAGAGTTGTGTTACATACAAGTATAGTCTGCAATAATAATGTTTCTGATTTGAGCTGTCAGTGTCACATGTATTTCATGTGATCATACTGCATACAGTGCAAAGGGATAATTACTAGTACATGTCTATTTGTGCACTGCCAGAGTAGAAGCCTGTCTTGGCTGAATGAGTATCTCTCTCATCATGGACCTACTATGCTCTCATCATCGAGAGTCACTGGGCAACCAAGCATCATGACTGACGTTCATTCCTATCACAACCTGGCAGGAACCTAATAATCTCTGTCAGCTTGACTTCGCCCTCAGTCAAAGCTTCGCTGGGAATTATTACCTTGTGGTATCGCATTGCTGAAGCATGAAAAATTGTATAATGAATATACGGTAATGATCATGGTAGCATGTACATTTGTACATTGAAAACATGGAGAAAATACAGTGTTGACATACATGTACATGTAGATCTACACTGCAGTGCAGTACATGCATCGTACATGTAAATGTGTGTATGAGTACAAATAAATAATATTTGAAAGGCTTTTGTAATACCTCAGCAAAAAGTAAGTGACCAGTACATGCAATATACATGATTTATTTCTAGAAACTTTTAATTTAAAAAAAATGGGTACTGCATAGATGATGTAGTGCTTAACAAAAGGGAATGATTGAACACGATCAGCATTTTTAAAGCCTTAATTAAAAGCATACTGCAATGTAGAGATCTATCGTCCTCTGCGTGTGGTATTCACCTCTCCCTCTAATTGGGTTGATAAAGTACTTGTATTATTGACCCAGCTGATTTGATGAGCAAACAAAACATTGCCACGCAGACAACTCACGATGACAGTATGATTTATTTTTACCTGAGAAAAAGAAAGGCACATCTGCTTGCCCAGGGCATAATTTTATTAATTTGAACAGGAAAACAAGTTAGTCTCTGCCATTAGAAATGATTCAATTTACATTACAGCGCATATAATATATTTTTTCATTTCTTTAAAAGCCCTACATACAGGTAAGCTACATCATTACATGTACAGTATACTCTAAAGGGGGGGGGGGGGATAACACTTTGTGAAAAACTGATACTTTTTACTTTTCTCTAAATTTATTTAAGTGAAATCATTTTTTTTTTGCTAGGGCAAATGAATACAGCAGGAATATTGTAGCTGTTTGCAATTTTAATTTCCACATCATGTCAATCCACTGTTTGGACTACAGGTACATCCTGTACATTTAGTATCTACACAAATGATGCCAACAAAATGAGAGGTTCTGGTTGAAACTATGGGCAAGAGGTGACTCCAATAGTATTATTTGCTGATGGGCACAGCCCCGAAGCAAATGGTACTAAATTGGAGTCACAGAGGCCTACAGTTTTAACCAGTACCTCGGAAAAAAGACAGGGTAGACCTATTCATGTAATTGTTTTGAGAGAAAATAATTTTGTAATAATTATAATTATTATATCCTTATTATATAAAAAATGTATTGCCTTTTGATTGGTTGAGAGCTCTTCACGTGACCAAAAATGTTTCAACCATTTTAAGCTTGCTCTGAAAAAGTACTACCGGTATTTGGGAGGAGTAGGTACATTTTGTAGGCCTACTATTTGGGAGTTTTTGATTATTTTTCTTTTCAATTTTAAAATCTTACTAAAAAATTGTAAAATGTTTAAATATTTATCTAAACAATCGTTTTGACAAATTTGTTTAATCTAATAATTTAAAAATGTCAAAAATGTTTTTTTTTAAATATATGTACAAAAATAATTTGTGTTGATGCAGGATACAAAACATATATCTGACTTCTTTTTGAAGTACTGGTTGAAACTACTATCGGCCTCCAATATATTGGAAACTTGGAGTCACCTCTTGCCCATAGTTTCAACCAAAACCTCTCAAGAGATTAGTGAAGCAACATTGTGTAAAAATTTGTACCCACTGAAATAAGGTACCTCAAACAAGGAAGGGCTACACATGTATGTGAACATTCACAACATGTAAGCCTACATGTACATACTACAGATGGTCAGACCAGGAGGCAATGCATTTGCAATATATACATGTAGACCTACATGTACAGGTTGTATACATACATGTACTGCAGGCCAAGGCTACTGATCATGTGTTCCCCTTTTCCTCCAATAATGTCAAATTTCACCCCGATACATGAACAACAACAACAAGAATATTTGAGAACATGCAGTACATGTAGTATGTACATGTACATGTACATGTATGCATAGCCACGTGGGCATCCAGTGTACGTAATTCTGGACGAACTGAACCCCATTATTACAACAAAAAAATAATGACGGGATTAGTAAAAAGTGAATGCACATGCA